CATTTGGAATACCTTCAAACCAGTTTCTTGGTGGAGCACTTGAATCATTCGTAGAGGTTTCTATTTCAAAGTTAGCTTATATCACAAAATACCAGAAAATCCATTAGAAATGAGTAGCTAAATCAGGGAAGTAGTGGCCAATAGTTACTGAAACATGGTGCCGAGTGAGTCCCAGCTTTCTTCCTCTGACACTCATTAATTTGCCCTGTAATTTAAACAACAGTTTAAAGCTGTTTATTTTGCCTTATTTATCACTGCCAGCATCTTCAACTGTAAAGCGTTGGGAGTAAAAATAGCTAGTCAGGTACAAAGCTGAAGGGGATGTGTTCAAGAAGAGGTTGGCTTTGAGCCTTCATAGTTGATATCCATAATCATCTCATGGACGGTTCCTGTGCTTTCTTTTAGGCACTGGCTTGCCCGAGAGTATGTCTGGTTCTTGATTCCATACATGATCTATGACTCCTACGCCATGTACCTCTGTGAGTGGTACCGAACCAGAGACCAGAACCACAGACACTCCCTCACCACTTTTCGAAACTTCCTAAGTAAAAACCGCCTCATGGTTGCGCACCATGCAGTCATCCTGTTTGTCCTTGTGCCAGTTGCACAGGTATGATCTTCCAGAACAGCCACCAACAGACTCAGTCACTCATTTTCTCCTGTGAAACTGGTATCTTGCCCATTACAAGTGTGGACTGTCCCTCTTTCCCTTCCCCGTCCTCCTGCACCCACTCTTGTGTGCCAGCAGCAGCACAGGAAAATCTCCCAGGCAGATCCTATAGAAGACAATGCAATGTGAAATGTTCATGATCTTCCTTACCATTTTCCTTTATGCAATCCCCCAGCCCTCTGTGATTCCCTAGGCTCTGTCAGACTCTGTCTTCAGTTTATAAAATATAAAAACCGTATAAAATACAATACTAAACAACATGAAAATTGTTTTAAAAAATGAGAGAGTAGCTCAGTCAACTGGTTATTTGCTGTAACAGTGCCAGAGTACCGTATGTGCTCTTTTGATGTCACAAAAGCCCCCTCTCAAGGCAGGTAGCCTTCCAATTTCTTCTTGGGTCCATTTCCCCACCTGGTGAGGAAGAGAAATGAGACTGCAGAAAGGAAATTAGTAACTCCTGAGTGCCTATCAGGTGATAAGCACTGGGCTGAAAAGCTCACAGCTTTCTACTAATAATTAGAAGTTATTAGAAATGATAATTAGATATTATTAGCCAGACAGGAAGAAACTGGGGCTCTAAGCCTTTACTTATTGTAACTTACTTCAGTGGTAGCGACAGAGCTGCTATTCTGTGCTATCCTGTTTTCTTGACCAGATAAAATGAGTGGTGGAGTACATTACATTCTTAAAAGAAGTTTCCCCTGATTGCTTTGGGACCCTGACATCTAGTACAGGGCCTGGCACATATTTTGTTGAATTAAATTGGAGAAGTGCCCTTGGCATGACTAAGTCAGATACCCAAAAGTAGGCTACAGGGTTCTTCCAGCTGACATTGAAATTCAGAAAAAGCTTGGTGTGTGATGCAATCAGCTGATCTCTGAGGTTGCCTCTGGGTCCTAGGGATTTGACCCCCAGAGGGCTATTGCTATGGAAGCAGCAGAGAATTAACTGTCATCCTTGGTCAGTTAGCATTTCCCTTTCCCTTCATGGTCTCTCATGGTTATCCTTTCCAATAGCCCTAGTTAGAATTTTCCTTCCAGTGGTTCCTTAACCTCTAGTTCTTATTTCTCTTTTTTCCCCCTTTTCTTCTGCAGAGGCTTAGGGGAGACCTTGGGGACTTCTTTGTTGGCTGCATCTTCATGGCCGAACTGAGCACTCCGTTTGTGTCACTGGGCAGAGTTCTGATTCAGGCATGTATGAATGAAATGGCGGTGGTGTGGAGGAAGCCGGCTCTGCTCTTCCATGGCAGGTTGTGGGGCTTGGAGAAATCCCTTAGTGCTTGCAATAGTGGGACAGGAGACCCTTTGACAGACTAAAGGTCAGTTGGTCTGAACCTGTGGGGATGAAATTGTACTTTTGATTCAAATTTGATATGGCTTTTTATGTATATTTTTTTCGTGGCCACAGATTTGTGTTTTTTTCTTTTTTGTTGAATCCACTGTTCCGTGTATCTGTTGGCTGAGTGGCTCAGGCCAAATTCAGTATCACGGTTAGAAAAATGCAAGCCTCTGTGCACATACAAATATGCAGTACTCCCGTCAGCTTTTCCACAAGTTTTGGAAGACTAGATGCTTGGCTTCACTGCCATGGAACTTGGGCTAGTGGTTCGCTGAAGGCACAGCCTCTTGGTAACTGCATTTTCCTCCCCTTTATCCTGTAGCTAAAGCAGCAGCACACCCTTCTGTACAAAGTGAACGGAATCCTCACGCTGACCACCTTCCTTTCCTGTCGGATCCTCCTCTTCCCTTTCATGTACTGGTCTTATGGCCAACAGCAGGGACTCAGCCCACTCCGAGTGCCATTCAGCATCCCTTTCTACTGCAATGTGGCCAATGCCTTCCTCATCGCTCCCCAGATCTACTGGTTCTCTCTGCTGTGCAAGAAAGCAACCCGGCTCTTTGACACCACCCCAGCCAAAAAGGATGGCTAATTGCTCCCGGGAGGCAGTGAGGGTACCTCCTCACATCAGCTGCCTCCTCCACTCAGTATTCCACGGACCAAATTGTGCCCTGGGTGGCCTCAGCCTTTTGGGTATTGATTGATAAGCAGATGGATGGGTTTGTTTTTCTAAAGAACATTCATATTACCTCCCTCTTCTAACCTGCCCCTTTTGCAAAAGCACTTTTTTCTAAGTAACAACAATTGGATCCTATCAGACCTCCATTGGCAGCAAGGTGGTTTTAATGCAAGCCCAAGGATCTTTCCTTGGGTCCCACCTCAAGGGTTCTGGGAGGTAGAAGCATGGGGTGTGGAGACAGGTGGACTAGGGTGATAAGTGTCTGGGTACCTACCTGGCCCTAAATATTGGTGGCTACCCACCTTTCCAACCACTCAGGGCAGTATCTACGCTTACTAGGCCAGCAGCAAGTGATGACTTGGTTCTTGAAATAAGTTCTCTCCTCGTGATGTTGGCCCAGGAAAATCATTGTAGGTAGGTAGTTTTTTACTGTGTACTAGATAACCCATTGGTCCCATGCCTTATCCTGCCATCCATGTGCCAACATTGAACTCCTACGTCCACTGACTTCCATTCAGAAGTCTCACTGGCACGGGGGTAAGAGGCAGGGAAGGGGACCTGAAGCACATGAGTAGGTGGGGAGGCCGATAGCTCAGCGCCATTGTAGGCTGACTTGGGAAGACCAGCATCAAACTTGTGAGCTTGTTGTAAAGCCACAAAAACTATTACTTTCTTAGCATGTCCCCTCAAACCCAGCTTTCACCATATCCAGACACACAGGATGCTGTTAAAAACTGTAGGGGTAAAGTGACTTGGTGCCTCTCAAGCTCTTTCCTGGGTAACCCCACTCTTTGATATTGTCCGTTTCATAGGACATGGAAATGGGCAGTATTCCAAACTGTGAGAGGTCTCATCCACGTTGCCTCCCAGTAAGCCAGAGCTTGTGTTCCAAAGCCTGTTCTTAAAGGAACATACTGCCACTTTGCCACAGAAGGCTGGAGAGTAAGAGTGCGAGAGAGCCCTGGCCAAAATACATCCTGTGACTGACTCACCTACCATTTGCAAACAGGATCCTCTGGTGCCAATACTAATTGTTCCTCATCTAGGATGGGTTTTAGAAACTGCTACCAAGGTGTTTTTTTTTTTTCTTTTTTTTTTTAAGTGGTAGTAAAGATCTAAATGTTTTAAAGTGCCTTTTAATTCACTGTTTTCCGTGAACTTTTAAAGTACTGAATGTGTGTCTCAAATTCTATTTCAGTCTTTAATAGGTGCCATTTAAAAAATGTCAAATGCTGTAATTTTTTTTACCGTTTTTGTTTACTGTCATATCTTTATAAATCACCCCTGTGGTGATTAAATTGCACTAATATTTCCTAGCTTCTTCTCATTTGTTAAATACATCAATACTGACAGCTTTTCAGGCCCATTCTGTGACCTGACTGGACTCCTTGCTGCATGCTTTGAGTCTGGTCTGTGTTCACATCCATGCAGCTGGCAGAGTGGAGTGTGGAGGGCTGTGGTCATGCTTTCAGCATTCAGGAGGGCCTAGCTCATACCTTACTCTAATATGTTTCTGGGGTTCTGAGAGTACATCATAGGTCCTAGTGTTCAAGCCCAGTGGTCAGGTAACTCAGGGTTCAATCTTCCCTTCCTACGTGAATCCCAATTAGGAGCTAGGGAAGGAACCAAAATAATGCCTCATTTTGAGTGAGGGTATGTATATGAAGGTGATGGGACATATCTGCTCCCCCCCTTCCTTGCTTCCCAAGCCAGTTCTACTTCTGTGATATAAACTGGACACGTTAAGTTCACTTTTTATGCTTCTGTGTACACCACTGCCTGCTCCCACTCACTCTTGAAAACCATGACAACCCACCCCAGGCAGAAGATAATTACACCCATCCTTTAGATCCATCTCTGCTGTGTTTACCAGACTTAGTTTTCACAGCCCCTCCTGGATCCACTGAATGGAGTTCACTATATGGCAAAAGTCCTCAATTTAGAACACACTCCTTTTCTTGGGGTTATTAGTCTATTTAATTTTCTTGGTCCAATGTTTTCCTTTTACAGTGCTGCAGGCTTTTTGGGTTCAAAAGTCACACGGCTAACCAGTGACAAGTTATTTTCCTTGCTGCCCTTTCCAAGACCCCACAAAACTGACTCTTGAAAGAGGGTTTCAGTGCAAAACAACACATACCTTGCAATTTTTCCACTTGGGTGGTTTCACCTTTGGACTTCTTTGCCAAATTCTAGGGTGGATAAGTCCAGTTATGAAAATGTCCCTCCCAGCTTGCCTTGATCTTTAAGACCCTAGCTGTGCCCAACTGCAGAGCACATCTAAGCCTAGACTACTGACGAGACTTAGAGACCCGATCAAAATCAAAAGTGAATTTAATAATTTGTATGTTACAACCTAAGAAACTATTTTCTTTACAGTTACTGCCATATACTTTTGCTTGTGTACAATTTCACATCACCGAAAAGCTTGTGTTTCTCAGCTCGAGCCCCTAGAGCCCCCCACCAAGGCAAGGCCCAGCTGTTTTCTGGTCTACAAAGGTCAGAAGTTGCTGATCTTCTGCAGCAGGGTTTGGCGCCGTTCCTCAGGGCTAATGTTCTCAGCGATGGACTTTAAGAAGCGCTGCTCATTTACCTTCTGGAGCAGGGAACTACTAGAAGGATTAGCCTTGCTTAGGGTTTCATAGCAGGTGAGGATTTCCAAGGCCAAGACATATAGTGGCTCGCACACCTCGTGGGGGAGCATGGCCATGATGTGCAGAACGTGACAGAATACCTGGGTATAAAAAAACAGGGTTTCCTGGGTCAGGTCCTGTTCTTGTCCTTGAGCCCAAGGGCCAACTGACTGTATCATCCTAACGGAGTCCAAGAGATTGGTCAGACTGTTACAGAGAAGCCTGACTACATGGCTCCAGCCTTCCATAGGAAGCCAGTTACGACAACTCTGGCTGCAGAGAAACTGGAAAACTCTCAGCAAGAGTACAGATAGCTGGAGCTCCGGGGCAAAGGGCTTCAGGTTGAGCAGAGGAACAAACTGAATATATTCCAGGCTATAAGGGACATGTAGGAGTTGTTTCTCCAACAGTCTCCTGGTCAGCTGGTAAAGGTACTGCCACTCTTGGGAGCTGCACCAAGGCATGACTTGTACCAGGGCCACCAGAAAGCCCTTGCTGAACAATCTGACCTCCTCGGGGTTGCCCACATCTACCACCAAGAGGGACAGCATCTGCTCAGAGATGCTGCTGGAAATGTAGCAGCACTCCATCCAGGCAAGAAGCCCTGTGCCTGGCCCATACCCAGGGTGGGCCTGGGAGGTCCATTCATCCTCAGAAAGCTTGCAGATCTCAAAAAGCGTGGCTGGCACCTCACACTTGAAGTGGCCCTCAAAGAGGTTCTTCATCCTCAGGCGCACTGTCCAGTCGAGCTGCTCCAACTTCCGGTGGAGCCAAGACAGGGACTTGATCCAGGTGTCTGGGGAAAAGGTCTCAGCATTAGCCAGTACGATCTCACAGAGGATCTCCAGGATATGGACCACCAGATCCTTCCCATCCAACAAGAGGCACCGTTTCTCCTTGGGGAGCTGCCAGTATTTGCTGAAGCAGTCCAGGAGCTGGCACAAACTGAAGATGAGGGGGAATGGAGAACAGGTCTGGAGCCAGTATTCCTCTAAACATGCATTTGCTTCAAGAGTCTGGAGGAAAATCTTCAAACTGAGGTCTACCTCTTTGACATCGAGCATCAAGAAAGGCAGGACAAACTCCTTTAGCACCTCATGTGGCTCAAGAAGAGCAGCAACCGGGATACCCTGGGGCTTCACAGGACTCACCAGGCAGCCCAGGAGCTCCAAAAATTGCTTTTCTTCCTTAGGTGTAGAGAACTTTGTCCAAACAGTTTCTTTGAGGCATGACACCACAAAGGTAGTAGATGGATTTGGATCCTGCTCTTCCGTGAACCTAAGGGCAGGGAAGGCAGAGAGAATCTGAGCCAGGAATTTGTGGGTGCCAAGGTTGACCACAGCCATGCTGCACATTTTCTTCACTGTGATCTCCGGGTGCAATATTATCAGGCGGGCCACAGAAGCCACTGCTTTAGCTAAGCCCTGTTCAGAGGCACTCTGTGCAAGCTGGTTAAAAGTTGTATTGAGGTCCTCCTGAAACCCGTCCAAGTAAGCCAACAGGTTCTCAGAGAGACCCTTCCGCCCCCAGGAAAGCAGGGTGCCTGAGAGGACTTTATTTTTATCTGGCAGCGAGAGGTCTGCGTAGCATTCCAGGATCAAGCCAATCACTTGTTTGATCTGAGATTCAGGGATGGCTCTGTCTGTCGCAGTAACTTCCATCACTGTTTCCAGCAGCTTTAACACCAAGTCTGGCTCTCGGAAGAGAGCCCAGTTATTAACCAGGCAGGCTAGCCACTGGTCTGAGAAGGCCCACTTCTTCTCAGAAGCAAAAATGTAGCACATTTCCATATGCCGGTCCATCTTCTGCTCAATGATGGCCATGGCAATCGAGGCGGTGATGTCCTTCTCAAAGCCCTTATTCTTCAGCACCCTGTTTGTTTTCCTCAGGAAGTCTTCAACACACTCTGCTAGCTCCGAGACCACCTGCCGCTCCTCCTTAGACAAGCTGGTAGAATCAAGGTAGAGCTTCAAGTTCTGGCTGAAGGAAGTCAGGCTGTCACACAGCCGGTAACTGTCATAACTTGTCCCCTGGCTGCTGTTGAGCATGGTCTGCAGCTCCTTCCCCCACTCCCGCAGGAGGCTACACATGAACTCAAACCCAGTGAAAATCGTCTCGCTTGGAAGCTTGGCCAGGGAGGTCAGGCTGACGTCCCGTTCTGCCTCCTTTACCTTCTCTGCTAGTGCCTGTTGGTGATACGGGTTCTGGGTGTCCGAATTCCACACGGAGATCACTGTGGCCAGTTTGTCCAGATACACAGTTGCAGACACTTCCTGGGGGTCATCCTCCATCAGTGCAAATACTGTTAGCATGTCCGCTAAGTTGGCTAATGCGCAGCATTTCATCCCTGGGCACAGGATTCTATTTTGGATTTGCTTTAGCCCAGTGAGCAGCATGGCCAACAGGGGCATAGTGGGACACACCTCTGGGTCTGACTTAAACCTCTTTGGAGGATGGGAAAACTCATCTGAAGAAGACAAGTACTTATGGGCCATTGTTCTAAACTGGGAGAGCAGAGGATCCTGCTGATTGCCTTTGTGCTTCATCATTTCCCACCAGACACTGAGGAAAAAGGCCACATCCTTTGAAGAAGTGTCAACAGACATGTGCTCCAAAAAGCGCTCTAGTTCTGCACGGCAGACGGTGGTGGGCAGGGCCATCAGAAGCTGGATAAAGAGTCCAGAAGCTTCCAGAGACTTCAGCAGCTCAAAAAGGACCGTGTGATTGATGGTAGGGATCATGTTGCCTACCGAGAAGAACACATCTTCCTGCCACCGAGTGTCAGTGTCTGAAGGGGTGACAGGGTAGGGCTGAAGAACCTTGGCCCAGATGATGATCAGAGCTTTCTTCTTCCAGGCAAAGGGCTGGGAGCATGTTGAGGCGGAGGAGATCTCCCTTAGGGCCTCCACAATGGGCTGCCCAACATGTTCCCAGTCAGACTTTGTCAGTTCTGTCAGTGCTTTGGGGTGGAAGAGCTGCTCGGCAAGCAAAAAGCCCCCATGCAGAATAGTCATTTCTTCACAGATATTCAAAGGTCCTGCACAGAAAGAAGCCGCACAAGACAGTGTGGTGAAAAATCTTTAAAATAGTTAGTAGAGGCTAGACAGAGACATCAGTTGGTAGGCTGGCTGTCATCACCAGGGTTAGAGATGATAAGGGTTCTAATGGGGAAGAAGAGATGGTTCTAGCTACTGTAGAGCTGGAAACAAAAGGACTTACCTAAGGAATATAAAGAAGGACTCTCAAACTCTAGCCTGGATTTAGAAGACAATGGCTATCACTGGAGGAACAGAGAATCAGAACAGCTCTGGGGGGGGACACTGTTCAGTTTTGGTTATTTGGAGTTTGAGGTAGAACATTAAGATAGGGGGATCCCTGGGTGGCACAGCAGTCTGGCGCCTGCCTTTGGCCCAGGGCACGATCCTGGAGACCCGGGATCAAGTCCCACATCAGGCGCCCGGTGCATGGAGCCTGCTTCTCCCTCTGCCTGTGTCTCTGCCTCTCTCTCTCTCTCTCTCTCTCTCTGTGTGACTATCATAAATAAAAACAAACAAACAAACAAAACATTAAGATAGAGATGTCCTCCAGCAATGGAAATGTGGGGTTGATGCTCAAGAGGAGAGCCAACCCTGAGATGTGACTCACGGAGGGGTCTGCCTAGAGGGGATCAATGGAACGAACAAAGTGAGTGAGATTCTGCAGGAAAACCATGTGTAAAGGAAAGGGCTAGGCCCTCCAGTAACGGATGGGCCAGCAGAGGAGGTGGAGAGGAGGGGTGACAGGGTGCGTACTGTGCAACATGGCAGTCAAGCTTCTGAGTAATGATGCAGCCTAAGAAGGGAGGGGCCAGGGCTGAGGCCGCAGAAGCAATCAAACAAGCCCTGCCTTCCCCCTTTTCTCTTACAGTCTTCTTAAAATTTCAAATGTTCTGCCTTTCAGGGAAACAGTTTACCCCACAGCTCTTTCTGTCAAGTAGAACAAGCTACCAAATGCTCTGGTTCTCTCGTAGAAACCAAGAGGTAGACATAAAATATACTTAGTAGATTAGGAAAGAAAAGTCTCTTCTCCAGTAAGCCCTGAATCAACACTTATCAAGGAAGGCATCTGGGGAGGTTTAATTAGACACAGCTGTAAATCCTAGTTCAGCCATCTAGAACCTAGAGCTTCTCTGGGCTTCCCTTCTGCATCTGTGGGGAGAACACAGACTTCATATTAGACTGGGAGGATCAAGTGCGATATACTAGTCACACCCTGAGTACTGAGCTAGTTGTTCAGTGTTAGCCCCCAATTCCTCGTTCCCTCATGCCTCCAAGTACATATCTTTCCCAGGAGCCAGCAAGAGAGAATCTTGATTTAGGAGACTAAAAACGATCCTGCCCTTCAACTTTAAGAGAGCAGCAAAAGGCCAAAGGATCAGCACTCCTATGCAACCAACTGGTGAAGGCAATCCACCTTGGCTCCTAGTGGCCTAGGCAGACTCCCAGGAAGATTAGGTTGCTGACAGGTCTCACTGGGGATTCTGGCTTTTTTTTTTTCTTTTCTTTTCTTTTTTTTTTTTTTTTTAGCTCAGGCTGCTCTCCTAGGCCCCCAAAATATGCTCTCTTATGACTCTGTAAATTTAATTTTATTGCACAATCAGCTCAGCTGAGATGTTTGTCCCCCAAAACCTATTATTCCAGAGACAGTATGTTCATTGTGCTACCAGAAGGAGTAAGTCCCAGGAGCTATTGGTTAATAGTTGGGCAAATCCCAAGTGTTTTTATCACAACTGGATAACAGTGCCCACTCCAAAAGTTTATTAAGCGCTTACTCCGTGCCAGGCACTGTGCAAGAGCTCTTTTAATCCTCAACCTTTTGAGAACCATTCTTGTTTCAGAGATGGGACCACTGAGATTCAGAAACAATTTGCTCAGGATGTCCCAACTATAGTGTAGTTGGGGTCTGGGACGGAAATCACCACAGCTCCAGGGCTCCAAGCTCTTGAGCTCTACTGCTGCACCACTGAGGCCATGGCTGGGGGCAGGACTCAACATTTCTCCACAGCCTGTTACTGGCACACCTTGGGGTGCCTCACCTCAGCTCTCTGAGAACAGCCTCCTGCTCTTACCTCTGTAAGAGCATGACGGGCAGGGTGGGAGGCTGGACAGGAGTCACCATGTATACTAGCTCCCCCCTCCCTTCTCCCAGGCTCTGCCTGTGAGGATTCTGAATCAAACGTGCCCCCTCGGCTCCTCAGCCCTCCCCACAACTGCTGGCCGGCTGAACTAGCTGTGCGCATGGCACCCTACCAGACACTGTATACACGTGCTCTCAAGACGCCCCCAACTGTGTGTGGTGGGTATGCTATCATCACCCCCGTTTTATCGATGAGGACCTCATGGCAGAGGACGCTTGCCCAAGAACTCAGTAGCGGTTAACTAAGTGAAACCGTCGGTGTATCCTTCTGAGCCTGCATTTTCCAAAGCACGTGCACGAGCCCTGTCCACTCTGAGGAAATCTAACCTCACATCCGCTTGGCCCTTCACGTGGAAAGGCGCCCCGCGGGGGGCCAGCCGCGGGTGGAGGGGCGGCGGCGCCGCGGTAGCGCCGGGCCTCCCGACCCCGGCCGCGGAGGACACCCCCGCCCTCCCGAGCCCTCCCCGACCCGGAGGTCTCCCTTAGCCCGGGCCCGCTCTGCACCGCCCTGGCCGCCTGGTGCGGGACGCAGACCACGAGGGCGGAGGACGGAGGACGGAGAGCGGCGACACCCACCTAGGTCCATGGCGGCGACGGGGCAGGTCGCGCGGGTCGCCCCTCCCCCCGAGGCCCCGAGTGAGACGCAGGCGCCACGACACAATGGGCGGCTCCGGGAGGGCGGGACAATGGGCCGCGCCTCAGCCCCCGCCCACCATCTCGGCTCAGGCTCCGCGCCGCCGTCCGCAGGCCTCCCGCCGCGCCGCGCGCACGCGCAGAACCCACCAACAGGTCCGCGGCGCCCAAGCAGCCCGGCCCACAGCGCCCCCTACCAGCCGAGGCCTCCGACACGCCAGCCGGCAAGTGTACCCGCGCTTCCCTTCGGCCGGGCGCGCCCCGCCCCGCCCCGCCCCGCCCCCAAGCCGCGGTCCCCACCTTCCCCTTGGCCCGCGCCGCTGCCCTGCTTCTGCCCCGCCCAGCGCAGCCCTGGGGGATCATCCCCACGGGATCACCCCATTAGCTCCGCCTCGGCTCCGCGTTCGCTTCCAGCCAGTAACCCTCGGGATCCCGCGCTTAAGGTTCACCGCACTGAACGCCCTCCCCAGGCCGCCCACTAACTAGCACAGACTGGCGGTTCTGAAAGGCCTCCTCCCGGGCACAGCGCAGCGCCCCGCCAGCACACTTCCTTCTCACGGGAGGACATCCTTAATTTTCTGGCATCAAAGGCACCTTTGAAATGTTTACTGGTTGCCCTCCCCAGAAAATGCACTTTGCTATCCAGAGCAATAGTGGCGGAGATCCAATCCAGTGGGCCTCAGTTTCCAATCTGTACTTTATAAAAACACATTTGACTCCTGAGAAAACACATACACAAATATCCTATGTTCTTCTCACACATTACCCTGTCTTCTTTGCTCCCATTCCCTTCCTCCCAGACCTAATCACTAGCGTCCAGTGTTTCTAACTCTCCATCCTCCAGCTTCCAGTGCCAGCCATCACCCAGAAAGGACACAAGGGCTGGGCCTCAGCACCCCCAATGTGCCAAGTGGAGTTTGAGATGGCCTGTGCTGCTATCAAGCAGTTGAAGGGACCTGTGAGTGATCAGGAGAAGCTACTGGTGTATAGCTTCTACAAACAGGCCACCCAAGGCGACTGCAACATCCCTGCCCCACCTGCTACAGATGTGAAAGCCAAGGCCAAGTGGGAGGCATGGAACGAGAATAAAGGGATGTCCAAGATGGATGCCATGAGGATCTATGTTGCCAAGGTGGAAGAACTGAAGAAAAAAGATACTGGTTAAGGAGGACAGAATATCAAACACAATGAAGTAGCATGGCTCCTCTGGTAGCAAAAAGGATTTCTTAAAAGACCAACGGCAGAAACTTCCTGAAACCATAACCACCATAGCTGATACACATCAATAAATCACTTAAACTGCAAGAGAGTGTTATTGGAAAGCTGATTAAACTCCAAGTGACCGTGAGAGTTCTGGGGAGGTGTTCAAAATATATAAAAAAAGCAGTTCTCCAGGGAAGTTCCATCACAACTGGTTTTATGATCCTAAGAGTTCCCAGCTTTCCTATTCCAAGAGTATATGCAGATACTTGGCAGGAGTAGAAGGGCTGGGGGGAAGATCATGCTATGAAAACCGCCAAGATTTGAGGTCAACAGATCGTTTCCCAGAGGCTTGGGCTTTGGGGAAAGGGGAAAGAAGAGGCTGAGGCCCCTTATCTTCAGGGATTGTCTATTCACTACTAACCCAACATTACTGAGGGGAAAGGGGCTTTGTCTTTCTAAAAGCTAAAGTCAAGTCTTACCAAAAGCCCCTACTAGAACACAGTTCTGATGAAGTTAATATTTTGAGGGAAGTCAAACTTTTAGTGAAGTAACTGATGCATGACAACACAGCAGAGAAACCCTGGAGCGTATGGTTTCAAAATCCCAGTCTCTGACAGCCTCATCGAAGGCCATGCAACCCAACTTTTCTTGGGATTAGTTCATAGTTAATACTGGTTTCTGCTTGGGGATGTCTGTGGGACAATATGTACATAAATGTAAATGAGTTTGTTTCAGAAGCTCTACAAACCCTAGACCCATGCAAGGGCCAAAGTGCCTGTGCTCAGCTTCCACTCCTTAGTGTTGATTCTCACCGGGGCATCAATGTACTGGGATATGGAGTGCTAAATGCTATTATTAAAAACATTTCAGGGCAGCTAAACCACTGAGGGTGGCTCAGCAGTTTAGCGCCGCCTTCAGCCCCAGGGCCTGATCCTGGAGACCTGGGATCAAGTCCCGCGTCGGGCTCCCTGCATGGAGCCTGCTTCTCCCTCTGCCTGTGTCTCTGCCTCTCTCTCTCTCTGTGTGTCTCTCATGAATAAATAAATAAAATCTTAAAAAAAAAAAACAAATAAAAACATTTCAGAGGAAAAGCCTTGCTGTGGCATGGGACTTCAAAAAATACTTTTCCCCAAAAACTATTTTCATAAATTGTGACATCAGGTCAGCTCCTGTTCATGAAAGGCCATTAAACACTAGAAACAACAACCATAAAGACTTCATAGGACAAAGGAAACCAAATCTCACCAGATATCCTTGAGCTCTTCTGTTCACATATTTCAGGAAGCTGCTACAGACTAAGTACATCACTTGAGAATAAAGTACCCCCGGGACATCACAGTAATTAAAGAACTCTTGCAAGTTGGGTAAGAGTCATATTGCATAATGGTGTGTCTTTTTTTTTTTTTTTTGGTATCTCTTCTTTGGAGGATATTACAAGCATATTTGATGCTTTAGGGCTCTGATTCACATTAAATGTGAATTACTAGTAAAAATAATAATGGGACATCTTGCTCTGAAATAATGGTGTCAACTTAGGTGCTGTAGGTATAGTCATACCATTCTGTAAGTGATTATAAAACCTGACAAAGTAAAAATGCACCATAGGTAGGACTGCAGAAAGCAACTGTAGGATATAATATTAAGAAATACATAGTATACACAGTATGCTGAATTTTGTGGGGAAAAGGGAGAAAATAAGTATATTTATCTGCTTAACAAGTAGGAGCCAGGGGGAATGAGATTGATAGGAGCAAGACTTTTCAAAAAACACTTTTTTTTTTAAGATTTTATTTATTTATTCATGAGAGACACAGAGAGAGAGATGCACAGACACAGGCAGAGGGAGAAGCAGGCTCCATGCAGAGAGCCTGACGTAGGACTCGATCCCAGGACTCCAGGATCACACTCCGGGCTGCAGGCGGCGCTAAACTGCTGCGCCACCGGGGCTGCCCAAAATACACCTTTTTTATATTGTTTTGATTTTTTGTATTATCGACTCTATGTTACCTTATAGAAGTCTGATGCAAGAGTATTTCTTGGGGTGCCTGGATGGCTCAGTTGGTTAAGTGTCTGACTCTTGGTTTTAGCTCAGGTCATGATCTCAGGGTCAAGAGATTGAGCCTCATGTTGGGCTCCATGATCAGCGTAGAGTCTGCTTAAGTTTCTCTCTCCTTTTCCCTCTGCTGCTCCTCCTGCTCACGTGCACTCTCTCTAAAAAAGTATTTTTTTAAAGATTTTATTTACTCATGAGAGACACAGAGAGAGGCAGAAATACAGACAGAGGGAGAAGCAGGCTCTATGCGGGGAGCCTGATGTGGGACTTGACCCTGGGACCAGGATCACGCCCTGAGCCAAAGGTAAATGCTCAACCGCTGAGCCACCTAGGTGTCCCAACTCTAAAATTAAATAAAATCTAAAAAAAGAAAAGAGTATTTTTTTGTTAATTATTAAGGCCAGAGTAAATTTCCTGTGGACTTTCCAAGGGAAAGGTAAGAAGTCTTAGCTCAAACTGAAACTTCCCATGGTGGATCAACAGTTGAATGTCTGCCTTTGGCTCAGGGCGTGATCCCACAGTCTTGGGATCGAGTCCCGCATCAGGCTCCCTGCAGGGCGCCTGCTTCTCCCTTTGCCTATGTCTCTGCCCCTCTCTCTCTGTGTCTCTCATGAATAAATATTTAAAAAAGAAAAAACTCTCACCATAAATTTCAGTGGACATATTGAAACCCCCCTAAAAATTCGGGATCCCTGGGTGGCGCAGCGGTTTGGCGCCTGCCTTTGGCCCAGGGCGCGATCCTGGAGACCCGGGATCGAATCCCACGTCGAGCTCCCAGTGCATGGAGCCTGCTTCTCCCTCTGCCTATGCCTATGTCTCTGCCTCTCTCTCTCTCTCTCTCTCCCTGTGTGACTATCATAAATAAATAAAAAAAAAAATTAAAAAAAAAAATTCTGCTAAATCACAATAGCAACTGCATGTGACATGTGAGATGGGCAGAAAGTCACATAAGGGAGCTGTGAATGTCCACAGCTTTGCTAATTTCACCAAGAGGTCAAGCAAATATGGATTTCATACTAACTCCTCAGACTAAGGTAAGGGAGCTCTTGCAACATAGCCATTCTTTCTGTATTTAAACCCAAGGGAAATCTGAATTTAAACTTAATATGCTAGAACTCAACCCCTCAAGGCAAAATACCAAAATGAATGCTCTGAAAATACAACATTGGAGAAGCCAAAGAACTTTCCAACTTTATCTGTTTTAAAAAGCCAGCTTGGATTGTTTCTAGGCCTTTTGTCTAAGATCAAGTGTAAAAAGCCAGCTTGGGCAAAACTATTTTATATCCTTCTTTTCTAATGGACCATACCATTCTCAGAGGTGGAAAAGTAATCATATTTATGGTTTAAAATCACTAGCTACACCAGGGGCACATGGCTCAGTTGGTTAAGTGTGTGACTCCTGATTGCAGCTCAGGTCATGATCTCAGGGTTGTGAGATCGAGCCCCATGTTGAGCTCAATGTCGCTGAGTATAGAGCCTACTTAAGATTCTATCTGCCACTCCCTCCCTCTTAAAAAAATAAATACAAATAAGTAAAATCACTAGCTATACTATGCAGAGGTAAACTTTTGCATTCCTTGATAAAATGCCAAAATTGGGGCAGCCCTGGGGGCGCAGCGGTTTAGCGCCGCCTGCAGCCCAGGGTGTGATCCTGGAGACCCAGGATCAAGTCCCACATCGGGCTCCTTGCACGGAGCCTGCTTCTCCCTCTGCCTGTGTCTCTGCTTCTCTCTCTGTGTGTGTGTCTCTCATGAATAAATAAAAAAAAATCTTCAAAAAAATTAAATAAACAAACAAACAAATAAATAAATAAAATGCCAAAACTGTACGCTAAATGGTTGTAGGATGAACACATTATTAAAGAATACAAAAGAAAAATGGTTGGCAGTGAGACAAAAGGGGGTTTGTATCATCAAGTCAAAATGTCCCAGGTAGATAAATAGCATTAACTTCCATCATGCATAGCTGTAATTTAAGAGAGAAAAGTTTGGGTATGCTAATATACAAGTAGATAAAAAGAAATCTAGTATGTATTTAGTCATTCAGTACTTAACATAAACCATTGATTTTACTAAGACAAACTCAGAAGGCCTATGACAGCAGCCTAATATGCTGGGAAAAGCAGAGTTTCTTTGCACAAGAACAGTGTTACTGGAAATAAACATCAAGAATTACTTAATAATTTAATAGGAAATCTGAAAATTAACAAATCATGGTCTAAAGAAACATACAGAAGTTTGTTACTCAAAATCCATACAATAATTTCCCCATGTATAGGAAAAAGTGAACTACTGGTCTAGAGAAGGAACATATATAACTTGGTTTGCTTTGAACTCATGACTGTTTCCCTAAGACAGAGAATTTAAGTTGAATGAAAAGTGCACGGAGCTGGAAAAGGATTTTTTTCTCTCAGTGAAGGTAAGATAACCCTATGAGAAGGTGAGCTGAAACCCTGAAATTTCCTGCCAACAAAGGAGAACATCACAGATAATTTTATATTTATATTATTCTGGAACTGGTAACCTCTGTGTCTATCCTTTTCAGTCTTAGTTTCTTCCCTAAAATTTGAACCTGGCCACGATATTTTATGTTATCATTTTATTTATTTTTTAAAGATTTTATTTTTTTTGACAGCAAGTACAAGCAGGGGGAACAGTAGATGGAGAGGGGGAAGCAGGCTACTCACCGAGCAGGGAACCCAATGTGGGGCTCGATCCCAGGACCCTGGAATCATGACCTGAGCTGAAGGGGCAGATCCTTAACAAACTGAGCCACAACCATTTTAAAAATACCTTTAAGAGTCTTAGAGGCTGGTGTAACAACTTGATTTCAGAGGTATACTTTCAAAAAACATTTATAATAAATATGGCCAATGTAATTGTTGACTAATAATTTCAATGACTGAAATTTATTTGTTCTGTGGAACTAATTAGAAAACTACAATAAATCATTAAATTTTTTTTTCAGGCTGCAGAAATAATCTAATCCGTATTTAAGAAATGAAAATTCTCTCGGGATGCCTGGGTGGCCCAGCGGTTGGGTGTCCGCCTTCAGCTCAGGGCGTGATCCTGGAGTCCTGGGATCAAGTCCCACTTCAGGCTCCCTACATAGAGCCTGCTTCTCCATCTGCCTGTATCTGTGCCTCTGTCTCTCTGTATCTCTCATGAATGAATAAATAAAATCTCAAAAAAAAAAAGGGGGAATTTCCATGAGGATTTTAAAAAATTATATAAAGTAGCATGAAGGCAGGCATGTAGCAACAACACATTAGATCCTTCTATCTGCTTTCTCTAGCTGCTCAAAATTTTAAAGTAAGGAATATGTGGGTTGCTAGTCAAATCTTTTTGATTCAAGGTATAAAATTTCTTTAACATTTTTCAATGTCAAGGCCTGCCAGAGGAAGGCATTAGATCAGCATACTATCATGGAGCTGGAAATATTCCTGCTCTAAGCTTATTAAAATTCCCTTCATCTCCAACCAAAGGTTAATGCTCCACATAATTGCCCAAGCTAAAAAATATTTTATGACTAATCTACTAGAGTTATATATAGAATGTGCCATTCCAGCGACAGTGCAGATTACAGCAAGAATTCTCCTCTAAATGGACTGATAATAATAGGATTTTATTTCTAAAATTTATCTTAGAGCTTTCAAAGAGTATAACACACAGATCTTTACCACCACACCCCCCTTGCCTATACAGGAAACAACCAAGTTGTGAGAACATTTATCATGCACAGATACATCAGGCCTTGCAGGTGCTACACAGGAATCACAAATGCTGTTCCACATCATGTCTTCTGTTATCCCGAAGCCTTGGATTTATTTTGTTTAGTGAACCATTCGTCACTTTTATCTGCCGCCATTGCCTACAGAAAGAGAATTGGAATATATAGTTAAGTCTCTAAAACAGGGCAGCCCTGGTGGCCCAGCAGTGTAGTGCCGCCTTCAGCCCAGGGTATGATCCTGGAGACCTGGGATCGAGTTCCATGTCAGGCTCCCTGCATGGAGCCTGCTTCTCCCTCTGCCTGTGTCTCTGCCCGTCTCTCTCTCTCTCTCTCTGTCTGTCATGAATAAACAAAATCTTTTTTAAAAAAGTCTCCAAAATAAAATAGACAGTTTTGTACTATCTACAGTCATTAACAATTAAAAAGTGTTCATTCAGGGGGCGCCTGGGTGGCTCAGTTGATTGAGTATCTGACTCTTGGATTCAGCTCAGGTCATGATCTCCGGATCGTGTGACTGAGCCACTCATCAGGCTCTATGCTCAACACAGAGTCTGCTTCAGATTCTTTCTTCCACTCCCTCTAGCTCATATGCTCTCACTCTCAAATAAAATCTTTAAATCCTTTGGTAAGGATATACATTCATTTATGGAGTCAAAAAGCAAGTGCAGAAATGCCTTTAAAAATACCAGCTCTCATTTGAGCTAGGTATTACGTTGGGTTCAGGGTGGTGGCAGAGACATAGTCTGAGGCTTTGAGGAGCATAGAATAGCGGAGGACTCAGATAAGGAGACAACTATTTTGCTTGCATGAGGTACACGCAGGCATGTGTGTCACCTAGGGCATCTGCTTTAACGGAATCGTGAACAAAGTGCTATCAGACAGAAAGGAAACAAGTAACTAATTGGAGAAGTGGTGTAAAAAGACTCATTTGCCTCAGAAGGAAGTGCAAAGATGGTGCCTGCCACTGAAACAAAAGTATACATATTTTTAATTTAGAAGCAGTGAAGGTGAAAGCAGCTGGCCCAGGCAGTGGGACTCAGAGATGGGACAAGACACTGTTGCACTGCATTTATATCAAATCTCAATACAGACTTTCTATTTTGATGAAAATAAAAATAGTTTTGAAAATCAAAGTATGCAAAATAAGAGAAAACCAACAATGCTGCAGAAGTTTCTGTCTCTAAGGAGCCATAAAAAATGAAGGGAACAACAAACACTGGTGCAGAGAGTCCAAGAAAGCTTCTGAGTCTTAAAGGATGAGCTAAATAAAGAAGGAAGGAAAGAGACCTTTACGTGGAGGCAAGAAGACAGATCTTGGTTAATACATAAGGCTCACTGAGCCTGGAATAGGAGGGAGGAAGGAGGGCAGCACAGAATATCAAAGAGCAGGAAGGGCCGGGCAGGTCCCATGCTCTCTCAGAGTTTAGAATGTATCTTGGAGACAACAGGAGCTCTGAGAAGATAAACCGTTTTTGAAATGACTGGATTTGTGCTTCAGAAAGCTGATGTTGGCAGGAGGGATGGCTGCAGGGTGAGAGGAGGTTTCTGCACTATGACAGGTGATGATGAGGGCCCTTTCCAAAGGAAAGTACAGAGAGAAGAGATTTCAGAGGTAGAACTCACACTTCTTGGTTACTAACTGGGGTGAGGAGAAACAATGTTCAAAAATTGCTTTGTAAACCCAAAATTATTCCATAATCAAAAGCAGAGTAAATGTTAAAAGTGAAAGCAGTTCTACTCCTAGGTATTTACCAAAGAGAAATGAAACATGCTTATAAGATTTACTCAAGAATGTTCATAGCAGTCTTCCTTATGATAAATAAAAATGTTACATTAAATTTCTCTACCTTTTGAAATTCAGCCCAGGGTTTATCTAGGTGAAGAGGTTTCATTTGCTTAAACACTAATGGACAGAGAAACCACTAAACATAAAAGAAGTTGATAAACTGAACTTAAACTTTTTTCTGCTCTTCAAAAGACTCTGGGTAAGAAAATAAATTAGCAAGCCATAGACTGGGAAAAGTACTTGCATTTGTAGATATTTAACAAATGACTCACATCCAGAATTCTAATCAATCAACAAGATAAATAACCAAATGTTTTTTATAAAATGGATTTGAATGGGACTTAAAAATAAGCAAATATTTAAATAAGGGATATTCCAGGAGGATAAAATCATGTGAGCAAAGACACGTAGTATGAAAGTGTAAAAATACATTCATACTTAGAGATTACAGACTAGAGTGGCTAAAATGTAAAATAGATCAGAGGTGTGTCTTCCAACTAGTTTGTCATGAAACTCAATGGATCATATAAATTGTTCTGTATTGATACAGCCCAATTATATTAAAGCTAATTTAAAAATACATAGGGAAAACCAACTATTAATCATTTTTAGATAATCAGGGAATTTTTTTTTTAATCAGGGAAATTTAAATAAAAACTGGATTTTAAGGGCAGCCCCGGTGGCGCAGCAGTTTGGCGCCCCCTGCAGCCTGGGGTATGATCCTGGAGACCCGGGATTGAGTCCCACATCGGGCTCCCTGCATGGAGCCTGCTTATCCCTCTGTCTGTGTCTCTGCCTCTCTCTCTCTGTGTCTATGAATAAATAAGTAAAATCTCAAAAAAAAACAAAACTGGATTTTAAGTAACATTAAGGATACACTAGTGATTTTTTTAAGTGTGATAATATCAATATGGCACATAAGAAAATTCCTTGATTTTTATTTCTTTTAAATAATTTAAAAATGTATAAAATACTGGGGCACCTGGGTGGCTCAGCATTGGTCAAGTGGCTGCCTTCAGCTCAGGTCATGATTTCAGGGTCCTAGGATTGAGCCCTGCAAGCCCTATGTTGGGCTCTCTTCTCAGCAGGGATTCTGTTTCTCCCTCTCCCTCTACCCCTCCTCCCCTGGTTCATACTCTCACTTGCGTGCTCTCTCTCTCTCTCAAATAAATAAATAAAAAAATTTTTTAAGATTTTATTTATTTATGCATGAGAGACAAAGAGAGAGAGAGAGAGAGAGAGAGAGGGGCAGAGACACAGGCAGAGGGAGAAGCAAGCTCCATGCAGGGAGCCGGACATGGGACTTGATCCTGGGTCTCCAAGATCATACCCTGGGCTGAAGGCGGCGCCAAACTGCTGAGCCACCAGGGCTGCCCAATAAATAAAATATTTTAAAAAATTAAAATGTATAAAATACTTAAGTATTTAGGGTTGAAATAACACAGTGAAAAGATTTGCTTTAGAATTCCCTAGCAAAAAAAATAAAATAAGAAGTTGGGTGGTAAGGAATAATAAAAAATTTTGGCAGTGTTGATTAGTTATAGTCACATAGAGATTTGTTGTGCTTGTGTATTTCTAGAATTTTTAATTGCTATATGTTGAAAATAAAATCTATGGAAAGAAATGGACAAAAGACTTCAACATATAAATCACAAAGGAAGTTATGCCAATGGTTAATAAGCATACTCAAAAGTGCTAAATATCAGTAGTATCAGGGAAATGAAAATTGAAACTACAATGAGAAACCATTTTCCATGTTCTAGGATAGCTAAAACAAAAACCCAGAAAAATACAAATGCTGATGAGGATGTGGAACAGCTGGAACTCTGAGACAGACATATACATGGCTGACAGAAATGTAAAGTGGTTCAATCATTTTGGACAACTGTTTGGCAGTTTCTCATAAATAATGTGACAAATCAGTACAGTACTTGCCTCTGGGAGGCAGGGGTGGGATTGCTGGAAATGGGCATGGGAGAACTTTCTACAATGATGAAAATGCTCTATTTTTGAACTGCAGTTGTATGAGAATATTTAATTGTCAAAACTCATCAAAGGGAACACTAAATTTCTGTTCATTTATATTCCATGTATATTTTACCTCAATAACAACAAAAAATACTTATTTGGAGCATAGGAAGGAGTACGAACTAGAAATTAGGAAGTCAGACAATGGATGATGGTTGCAGTTCAGAGGAGAGATAACCAGTCACAGGTAACTTCTCCTCAGAGAAGAGGAAAAATGTGGAGAATAAAAGATAGCTGGAGTGAGGCTGTGGGGGAAATTGTTTTGGAATGAGACAGAAAAAGATGCTTGTGTCTGAGGAGAAGCTGTCAGAGAGATATGAAGATGGCATGATCTCTAAGACCAAAGGAGAAAAGAGCTTGAAGGAAGAAACTGGTCAGTGATATGAAAAAGCAGGAAGGAAAAAGTCTAACAAATGTGCCAACTGAGAGGTTGTCTGAGATTCTATTTTATGATAAAATTTATTGACGCTTTATTTTCTGTTTCCTGTTTTAGTTAATCAAATGTCTGTTATGATGTCAGCAGTTTGCCACACTCTATACATCATACAACCATCCTATGAGGTATATGATCCTATTTTCTCAAGTTTTCAGGTAAGAAAATTGAAGTTTAAAGGCACCTGGTTGGGGGGATCCCTGGGTGGCTCAGCAGTTTGGCGCCTGCCTTTGGCCCAGGGCGCGATCCTGGAGTCCCGGGATTGAGTCCCGCGTCAGGTTCCCAGCATGGAGCCTGCTTCTCCCTCCTCCTGTGTCTCTGTCTCTCTCTCTCTCTCTATGTCCATCATAAATAAATAAATAAATCTAGAAAGAAAGAAAAGAAAGAAAAGAAAGAAAGAAAGAAAGAAAGAAAGAAAGAAAGAAAGAAAGAAAGGAAGGAAGGAAGGAAGGAAGGAAGGAAGAAAGAAGAAAAAGAAAGAAAGGAAAAGAAAAGAAAGAAGAAAGAAAGAAAGAAAGAAAGAAAGAAAGAAAGAAAGAAAGAAAGAAAGAAAGAAAAAAGAGGGAGGAGGAGGAGGGAGGAAGGAAGGGAAGAAGAAAGAAAAGAAAGAAAAGAAAGAAAAGAAAGAAGAAAGAAAGAAAGAAAGAAAGAAGAAAGAAAGAAAGAAGAAAGAAAGAAGAAAGAAAGAAGAAAGAAAGAAAGAAAGAAAGAAAGAAGAAGGAAGAGAAAGAAAGAAAGAAGAAAGAAAGAAAGAAAGAAAGAAGAAAGAAAGAAAGAAAGAAAGAAGAAAGAAAGAAAGAAAGAAAGAAAGAAAAGAAAGAAAGAAAGAAAGAAAGAAAGAAAGAAAGAAAGAAAGAAAGAAAGAAAGAAAGAAAGAAAGAAAGAAAGACAGGCACCTGGTTGGGATGCCCGGGTGGCTCAGTGGTTAATTGCTTGCCTTCAGCCCAGGGTGTGATCCTGGAGTCCTAGGATTGAGTTCCGCATCAGGCTCCCTGCATGGAGCCTGCCTCTCTCACTGCCTGTGTCTCTCATGAATAAATAAATACAAATCTTAAAAAATAAATAAATAAAATAAAGGCACCTGGTTGGGTCAGTTGGTAGAACATGTAACTCTTGACTTTGGGGTCTTAAGTTCAAGCCCCATGTTGGGCATAAGGATTACTTAAAACAAGACAAAAATACCCCCCAAACTGAAGTTCAGAGAAGTTAATTACTTACAGTTAATCACACAAATAATAAGTGAAGAACTAGGACAGATTGGTTCATTTCTTTAATCATCAACAGAGCATTCACTAAGTTTCTACTACACACCAGGTATGTACTAGAAGCTGGAATACAACAGTGGCTTTGGATGCTGAGAAAAGACTGAGTTTGATGAGGAAAAAAAAGTAGTTGCTGGAGACGCCTGGGTGGCTCAGTGGTTGAGTGTCTACCTTCGGCCCAGGGCATGATCCTGGTCCCGGGATCAAGTCCCACATCGGACTCCCTGCATGGAGCCTGCTTCTCCCTCTGCCTATGTCTCTGCCTCTCTCTCTGTGTGTGTCTCTCATATATAATTAAAATCTTAAAATCTTAATAAAGAAAGAAAAGTAGTTGCTGGACGTGGCAAGATGGAAGTCACTGATGACATCAACAGGAGCATTTTCCTGAGTGAAGGAAGCCAGTGCAGAACACAATGAAATATGAATGGAAGGTAAGAAGAAGAAACACAGTATAAGCAGATTTTTTAAAGGAATATGGAGAAGGGATATGGGGCAAAAGATTTTTAAAAGATGGGAGACACGAAAGCTTGTTTGAATGCTAGCAAGAACAATTCGTTAGAGAAGAAGGGAATTCTGCCACTGTGGACTAGAAACGAGAGGACCAAAAGAGCTAAAGAAGCAAGGGAGGGTATCCAGGCCTTTCCCCTTACTGAGCAGAACCATGATGCATAGAGCAGGAGTGGTTCCCCCAGGGAGCATGAACAAGTTTAAAGGCACAAATGCGGGCAGCCCGGGTGGCTCAGCGGTTTAGCGCTGCCTGCAGCCCAGGGCCTGATCCTGGAGACCCAGGATTGAGTCCCACATCAGGCCCCCTGCATGGAGCCTGCTTCTCCTTCTGCCTGTGTCTCTGCTTCTCTATCTCTCTCTGTGTCTCTCATGAATAAATGAATAAATAAATAAATAAATAAAAATAATAATAAAAATAAAATCTTTAAAAAAATAAAAAATAAAAAAAATAAAGGCACAAATGCTGCACCCAGCTAAGAGTCAGATGGGTGCTAGGGCACCTGACTGGCTCAGTTGGTAAAGCGCTCAACTCTTGCTGTTGGGAAAGTGAGTTCGAGCCCCACACTGGGTGTAGATTAGTTTTAAAGAAATGAAATGTTTTAGGGGCACCTGGCTGGCTCAGTCAGTAGAGCATGTGACTCTTGATCTCAGGGTTGTGGCTCTGAGCCCCACGTTGGGTATATAGAGGGTATTTATAAATAAAAGCTTAAAAAGAGAGAGGGAGAGTCATATAGGTGCAATGAGACATTCTTGACTCAAAAGTCACCTTATCAACAATAGAACACAGCACTGGACCCTGTTGCTTTAGCATTTTCCCCCACACACTTAACACTACCCCCTGTGGGCCTATGGGGATACAAAGTCAGAAATGAGACTCACCTCATCCAACAATCTGCTTCCCTCTGGATCCATCTTAGAAAGTTCTCGAAATGCTTCATCCCCTACAAAGCAAATTTCATGTCCATCCTACATCAACAAAGAGAAAAGAAGCTTGGCAAAGAGACACCTTGAAAAAACCCCTGGGGCAGCCCATCCCTTTCCTGGGTAATACTTACAGGGTCAGCCAGAATGATCACTTGTACTGTTGCTTTCCCTGGGGTATCCAGACTCACCAGGGGAGTCAGAATCTTCTGGTTTTCCCTTTTCATCAAGTCTTCTAAGTCTGGTAACTAGAGAAAAACAAAGAGGCAAAGTGAGCAAGGGGTCACAAAGCACTCACACACTGTGGTTCTCATCAGCCCTAGGGGAGGAGTATCAGATTAACCAGAGAGAACCCAGGCACCATTTGTTTGATTTTATTATCTCAGCTGCTCTCGAGACAACTGTTGAACTTGATACCAAAGCCACAATCAGAACAAACCTAAAGGGAGGATGAGATTCTTAGCTGGTTCAACTAGCTAGTCACAGAGCTTACATAAAAGATTCAGGAACACACATTACCTCTTTTTGGGGGCAAGAAAAGGCAATTCTTCCAAAAGCTGCTGCATGATCAACTGTACCCTTAATACCCTGTAGCTCCAGCTTACACTGAAAAGAAATAAGAAAGTGGGTCTCTTTTGGGGGGACAGGTTATGTGGTTAAAAAAAAAAAATCCAAACAGTACTAAGGAATAAAGTAAAAACTAACTCTCCCTTCTATTCTCTGCCAGAGGTTTCCTGTGCGTCCTCCTAGGCAAGTGGCATGGATAGATCTTTTTTTTCCATCCAAACAGTAGCATAATTTACGCACTATTCTGTCCCTTGTTTTTACCCAATGTTACTCCATCAGCACATAAAGATGTGCTTCCTTTTTGATAGCTGCACAGTAATCCATTCTATGGATTAACCATAAATTATTGAACTATTCCTCTAATGCAGAGGACATTGAGGTTATTTCTTATCTTTTGCTATTATAATGCTGCAACAGATAACCTTGTACACATTTCCTTGCTCACATGAATGGTGAGTATATCTGTGAAATCATTCCTAGAAGTAGATCTGCTAGGTCAGAGTACAAGGACTAAATCATGTTCAAATGCTAGGTTATTTTTTTAAAAGACGAAAATAGAACATTGTTACAATATTAAATCTTGTCTCCATCTCTCCTGACTCAGCAGTTCCACTTCTAAAAGGATATATCCCCAAGTATAAACAAAGGTAGTTATCAGGGTGATGAGGTTATCAGCAATTTTTATTTTCTTCTTTCTGTTTATCTGTGTAATTATTGAACCATTGTGTAAAAAACTCTGCAAATAACCTTCATGTTAACCTCATTTATAAAGCAAACTCAAGGTAACAGATTACTTCTCTCCAAGATCACTCACTTGGTTATCAGCATAGCCCAGCAAAACCCTTTGCTTCTCTTCATCTTTTTCATAAATTTTCATTCCCAGTAGATTAGACCAGTAGTTCAAGGACTTCTGAAGATCAGACACTGCTAGAGTTACTTTTAATACAGGATCTGGAGAGTAATAGAACGGTAGGAACAGACAAATCAGTGCAATGGAATAGAATAGAAAGACTGTATCAGGCTCGAGTATATGTAAGAATTTAGTTTATGATAAGAAAAGGATTTTAAGTCAGTATAAAAGGGCACATTATTCAATAAGTGGCACAAAGATAACTGGCTTGCCATTTACTGAGAAAAAAATTATACCTTTAAATGGCAAAATATAGTTCTGGTAGGTTAAAGAATGAAAAAATTTTTAAAGATTTTATTTGTTTATTCGTGAGAGACAGAAAGAGGCAGAGACACAGGCAGACGGAGAAGCAGGCTCCATGAAGGGAGCCCGATGTGGGACTTGATCCCAGGTCTCCAGGATCATGCCCTGGGCCGAAGGCGATGCTAAACCTCTGAGCCATGGGGGCTGCTCAAGAATGAAATTTAAAGAATGAAACCATGAAAATACTAAAACCAGGTCATTATTGCTGCAATTTTGGGATGGAGAAAGATTTTCTTTTTAAATTACCATCCAAGAGTAAATGATAAAGTAGGAAGCATTTTTGCAACACATATGACAAAAAGCCCTTAATATTTAAGTCATCTCTAAACATTACTAAGAAAAAGATGAACATCCTAGAAAAATAGGTAAAAAGCACAAAGCATTAATCCACAAAAGAATGAACTGGAGGGCCCCCCCGGGTGGCTCAGCAGTTGTGCCTCTGCCTTCCGCCAGGGTGTGATCCTGGAGACCCAGGATCAAGACCCGGGATCAAGACCCAGGATCGAGTCCCACATCAGGCTCCCTGCATGGAGCCTGCTTCTCCCTCTACCTGTGTCTCTGCCTCTCTCTCTCACACATGAATGAATAAATAATATCTTAAAAAAAAAAAAAAAGAATGAACTGGAATGGTCAATGAACATACAAAAACATTCAATCTCACAAATAATCAAAGAAATCAGAATTAAAACAAAAACTTTGTTATCTCATTGGCGAATAATTTTGAAAGTATTAACTGTGATAAGGCAGCAGAAAAAAATCACATTCATATAATACTGGCAGAGTGTAAATTAATACACTTCTAGGCAACAATTTGACAGAACATACCCAAAACCTAAAAAATGTAAACTGCTCTTCAAAGAGCAATCCTATTAGCACCAATTAAAGAACTAATGTAGATGTATGAAGGGCTTTCAGCACAAAGCATTCTTTATGGTGTTGCTCATAAAAATGAAACCCTAGGGACAACATAAATATCCAACAACAGACAACTATTTAACCTTCCCACCATGTAATACAATGGAATCGCTACAATGGAGCATATGATAGATATATACATAAATTTCTTTCCATAAATGATTGGAAAGATACACTCTAAAATGTTAACAGTGATTATCTGGCTATGTGGGTACTGTTTTCTTCCTTTTTCTTTACTTACCTATCTAGGAAAAAAATCTATTTTTTGCAAAAAAGATAAAAGTTATACTGGAACATTTAACATGATTGAAAATTTTTATATTGTAAGGTGATCTTCTGAAGAGCTGCTCTATGATAAATTCAGTACATTTTTCTTTGGTTTTCACTGCCTCAGCCCCATTTGCTAGAATAGCAATACAATGATAAAGGCAAATTGTTTCTAACAGGTGCCTCTGCCTGGCAGACTGTTAGTTTTCCCTGTTCACTAAGAAATGAACAAATCCCAGCCAACTGGGTCCCTGACGGATGAAGAACAGGAATGGCAACAAGTGGGTGAGACTGCCCAGGACCCAGTTATTCAAGGGAAGACTGGACACCAACCAGGCCAATAGATTTGACTTTTTTTTTTTTTAAAGATTTTATTTTATTTATTCATAGAGACAGAGAGAGAGGCAGAGACACAGGCAGAGGGAGAAGCAGGCGCCACACAGAGAGCCTGACATGGGACTCGATCCCGGGTCTCCAGGATCATGCCCTGGGCTGTAGGCGGCGCTAAACCGCTGCGCCACCGGGGCTGCCCTAGATTTGACTTTATTACCAGTCGGAAATTAATTTCCTAAAAGCATTATCATTCCAAAGAAAAAAAAATCTTAGGATTGTGAGGCTCTCCATTATTTTATGTATTGAAACATCATTAAAATTAGGGGGAAAAATGCACAGTGGAGTTAGTGGCAGGAGTTAAGCTTTAAAGTTTAATTTTTGCTTTATATGCAAGAATCATCCATCAATAAAAATAATCATAAAAATCCCTTACATCACCAGTGAAGTACAGAAATACCATCTGGCAATAAGTCCTACAGCACCAGTCTAACCTCCCGCACTGGAACAGATCATTCTTTCCTTTGTTGAGTTCCAGATGAAAAGCAAGTAGCATTATACACACAGTAAGACTCAGTACAAGGAGCATTTGGGCACTGACACAGACCAGTGAAAGAAAGAGAATATATGTCTCCCACACTTCACATGAAGTGTGCTAATAGACTGAAATGCAGGCAGAACCGCCTTTATTATTCACTAGTGTTTTCTGCTGTTGTTTTTCTTTTGGCAGAGCAGATAGCAAAACATGCAGGAAATACACATATAATGAGTATGCTTCTGCGGTAAATGAAACATGTTATGCAAAGTTTCTTTCCGCATGTCAGTTAGCCTACTGGGCTTCTCACCTCCATTCCACCCTCACTCACCTAATATTAGCACTATAGTTTGGGAAACTAACCTGGGCTGGAAAGACAGGACCAACCGGTCTAAAGATAATCCTTTTTTTTTTTTTTAAGATTTTATTTATTTATTTGAGAGAGACACACACAGAGAGAGAGAGAGAGAGAGAGAGAGAGAGAAAGCACAAGGTGGGGAGAAGAGCAGAGGGAGAGGAAAAGCAGGCTTCCTGCTGAGCAGGGAGGCCTATGTGGGGTTTAATCCCAGGACCCTGGGATCATACCTGAGCTGAAGGCAGACACTTAACCGACTGACCCAACCAGGTACTCTGGTCTAAGGATAATCCTATTTTCCTTAGCAGTGATTCATTCAGGGGCAGGAGTGTGAATCAAATCTGACCAAGAAGTCCGCAGGAAGCTTCTAGGAAAGTTTTGGCTTTGCTTTTAATAAAAAGCAACAGAAGTCAGTCTCTCCCGCCCCTGTCAGATGAGAATGTGGAAGCATGTAGCCCTAATTGCTACTGGCATCCACCCAACAACCACAAGGGCACTGGCTCTAGAAGTAGACTCTTGTGGACAAAAGGATGGAGAGACAGAGAAAAGCTGGATTCTTGATGCCACTGCTGAGATGCTGAATCAACTAACCCACAGAATACCTGCTCTGTGAGCTAAAGCATTTTCTCATTGTTCATGTTAGAGATCAGTTTTCTGTGACAGCTTAAAGTATTCTAAATAGATATATTACCAGCATAATAGAACCAGAGCCAGTTTAGAGCCCCTAGAATTATGCACTCAAGTTCTATTATGAAAATATGATTTGTTGGGTTGCTTAGGTGGCTCAGTCGGTTAAGGCTGGACTTTTGATTTAGGCTTAGGTCGTAACCTCAGGGTCGTAAGATTGAGCCCTACATGGGGCTCTGCACCAGGTGTAGAGCCTGCTTAAGATTCTCTCTCTCCCTCTGTCTCTACCCTTCCTCCCCCTGCACACACACACTCTATTTCTATCTCTCTAAAAAAAGGAGAAAAATAAAGAAAAAAGAAAGAAATAGGATTTCTCAAAAAATAAGAAACACTGGCTTGGGAAAGACATCATGTCAATATAGAAAGACTCCATAGGAGAAAGAAATCCAGTTCCTCTCTTGTTTCATCAAAGATATGGTTAGAAACAGGGCTTTTATTAGTCCGGGTATAATTACCTGACTCAGGTGGACTGTGATCCTGCAAATAGAACTTATATCCTCCTGGGGCCTCAGTTTCAAAAATACCTTCTGTAACTTCACTAAGAGGCCACTCCAGCTTCCTGGCATTGCAGACAGCTTGGCTGGAAATGAGTGTGATACCCTATGACAAACAACAGTATCACCAACCGTATAACCACAGATCTTTTCTAGAACAAGATAGATAATAAGGCAAAACCCCACTGCCTTTACATCAATGCACCTAAGATTTAATTTAACTGGAATTAAATTTGGATTTAATTCCAAATTTTCTTCCAGTGATTTTTATTTTTTTATTTTAAGATTTTATTTATTCAGGAGGGACACACAGAGAGCTAGGCAGAGGGAGAAGCAGGCTCTCTGCAGGGAGCCCGATGCGGAACTCCATCCCAGGACCCCAAGATCACGACCTGAGTCAAAGGTAGATGCTCAACCACTGAAACATTCAGATGCCCCTCCACCAGAGATTTTTTAAAAGGTTTTATTTATTTATTTGAGAGAGAAAATGTACACGTGCACACAAGCAGGGGGAATAGCAGAGGGAGAAGAAGCAGGCTCCCCACTGAGCAGGGAGCCTGACTTCATGACCTAAGCCTAAGGCAAACAGACGCTTAACTGACTGAGCTACCTACGCGCCCCTCTTCTAGTGATTTATTTACTTACTAATTTATTTTTAAAGATTTTATTTATTTATTCATGAGAGACACAGAGAGAGAGGCAGAGACACAAGCAGAGGGAGAAGCAGGGTCCACGCAGGGAGCCGACGTGGGACTTGATCCCGGGGCCCCAGGATCAGGCCCTGGGCCAAAGCCAGCGCTAAACCGCTGAGCCACCCAGGCTGCCCTCTTCTAGTGATTTTATTTTTATTTTTTATTTTTTATTTTTTTTTAAGATTTTATTTTATTTATTCATAGAGACAGAGAGAGAGAGAGAGAGAGAGAGAGAGAGAGAGAGGCAGAGACACAGGCAGAGGGAGAAGCAGGCACCACACAGAGAGCCTGACGTGGGACTCGATCCCAGGTCTCCAGGACCACGCCCGGGCTGCAGGCGGCGCTAAACCGCTGCGCCACCCGGGCTGCCCTTTTTTTTTTTTTTTTTTTTTAAAGATTCTAGTGATTTTAAAGTAGGTTTTGGACATACTTCTTCTACAAAGATCCCAAATGTTGTGAATTGTAGGACAGAAGTTCAAAGGCTAGAGAAGTCTGGTCATTTTATTTTATTTTAAAAAGGATTTTATTTATTGGGGTACCTAGATGGTTCAATGGCTGAGGGTTTGCCTTTGGCTCAGGTTGTGATCCTGGGGTATGGGATGGAGTCCTACATTGGGTTCCCTGCAGGAAGACTGCTTCTCTCTCTGCCTATGTCTGTGCCTCTCTCTCTGTCTCTTAGGAATAAATAAATAAAATCTTTTTAAAAATTTTTATTTATTTGAGAGAGAGAGAGCACACCTGCGCAAGAAGGGGAAGGAGGAAAAGGGAAAGAGGGAGAAGCAGACTCCTCACTGAGTAGGGAGCCTGACGTGGAGCTCTATTCCAGGACCCCAAGATCACAGCCTGAGCCAAAGGCAAACCCTTAACCGACTGAGCCACCTGGGTGCCCCAAGAGGTTTGATCTTTTTTTTTTTAACGATTTTATTTATTTATTCATGAGATAGAGAGAGAGAGAGAGAGAGAGAGAGAGAGAGAGAGAGAGGCAGAGAAACAGGTAGAGAGAGAAGCAGGCTCCATGCAGGGAGCCTGACATGGGACTTGATCCCAGGTCTCCAGTATCACACCCTGGGCTGAAAGCAGCACTAAACTGCTGAGCCACCTGGGCTGCCCCTGGTTTAATCATTTTGATACCAAAGATAATCTCTTAATTTTAAAGATCTAGGGACACCTGGGTGGCTCATCGGTTGGGCGGCTGCCTTCAGCTCAGGGCGTGATCCTAGGATCCAGGATCGAGTCCCACTTCGGGCTCCCTGCGAGGAGCCTGCTTCTCCCTCTGCCTATCTCTCTGCCTCTCTCTGTGTGTGTCTCTCATGAATAAATAAATCTTTAAGACAAGTTTTTTCAAGATTTCGTCAGAGAAATTTCAATCTTACCTTGGTTTGCCAGCTACCTACTTTAGATGTTCTATTTTTATTTTCACTTTTTTAAACAAAAAAATTTAAACCAATTATCAAGGTATTATTTAAATTTAACCAAAACACCTAAAAATGTACACTGTGTCTTCTGGTAAGACCAGCTGCATTTCTAATTTGGATCACCATAATGGCCTGTCTTTCCCTGAGCCTTGTCAATCCATCGTCCCTCTGTAGCCAAAGTAAATTTTCTGAAACACACTCTACCCTCAAGACAGCAACCTTATGTTGTTTTTCCCCTGCTTAAAACCCTTGATAGCTCATCATTTCACTCAGGGATGGCTCCTAATGGTCTGAAAAGCCCAATACAATCTGATATCATGTCTTTTCTGACCCCATCTCCTCCCACTTTCCCCTTGCTCTATTCCAGGCATCTGGCCTCCTTGCATTTTCTTGAACATAAGTAAGTGCTCTTTGAGGGCTTCTGCACAGGCTGTTCTATCTGGATTGCTGTTCCTTGTGATATCCACATGGCTAACTCTCTTCTCTCCTGTGAGACTTTCCTCAAATGTCACCTCTTCAACATCCTCCTTAAAATTAAAACCAGCCATCTGTTCCATGCTCCTCATCCCTTCCTCTGCTCTGTACTTTTCCAGCAACAATGATCTCCTTTAACACAACATATCATATGATCTATTTATTCTATATATTGTCAGGCGCTGATTCCCTCCCCTGCCAGGCATAGATTTTTGTCTGTTTTGTTCACTAGTTATCCAAGGTTCCTGGAACTATGCTAGCACATAGCAGTCACTCAATAAGTATATGTTGTATGAATAAATACCACAATAAATAATTTAATACATAGTTCATTTAACATGTTTGTTAGCTAACACACGTCAACTAAATTCCTAGGTGTGAAACTTCAAGGTCCAAGGTCAAATGCATTAATTATTTTGATATTGCCAAACTGAGGCTGTAGTAATTTATACTCTTATAAGTAATGTATGAGGGACAGTTGTCTAACACCCTAACACAATGTCATCACACTTCTTGATTTCTGTCAATCTAATAGGTGACAAATGACAGCTTGGCAGTTGATCATCTTTTTCAGTGTTTGAGAGACATTTCTAATTTATTTTCTATGGCTATCTGTTCATAGTTTTTGCCCCTTTAAAAAAATTAAATCTTAAAAAAAGGATCAACAACTTATTTATTTGAAAGACAGAAAGAGAGAGGGAGAAAGAGAGAAGGAGGGGCAGAGGAAGAGGGAGAGAATCTCAAGGAGACTCTCAGCTGAGCATGGACCCAGATGCGGGGCTTGATCTCATGACCCTCAGATCATGACCTAAGGCAAAATCTGATCACTAACCAGATTGGACACTAAATGACTGAACCACCCAGGCATCTGTGATCCTCTTCTTTTTAATGGATGGGAACTCTTTATATAAATGGGAGTTCTATGTGACCTGTTTTTCTTTTTGTTCCATGAACTGAGGAGCACAGAAGGTCCTGGCATTAGGGATATTTTAATACCAGAGTCTTTCAAAAAGACCCACAGTGGAGCAGCTCTGCTCTTCTCCACCTGCATGACCTCTAACTCCTACAGCACCATCAATCAACATCTGTCTTGAGCTGGTGAAATGTTGATGGTGCCAAGATGGTTTTGCTCTTTTTTCTCTCCCTGATTTAAATTTGGAGAGTAAGGAAACGATAAGGAGAAACACAAAGAAATTTTTATTTACACTGAAATCACCAAATCCTTTTAACTCTATTTCCTAAACATCTCTCAAATCTCTCCATCTCCCACTACTGCCACATTAGTTAAGGGACTTCTAGTCTCTTGCTATACTACCTTTGAGCTAGTCTCCTCACTTTTAGTTTTGCTTCCTTCCAACCCAATCTCAATGCTCCAGCAAGGTGGATTCTTGCACACCACAAATACTAGTCATTCCTCTGTTTTAAAAATTGCTTCACTTGGGACACCTGGGTGACTCAGTGATTGAGCATCTGCCTTTGGCTCAGGGCATGATCCTGGGAATCCTGGGATCAAGTTCTGCATTGGGCTCCCTACGGGGAGCCTGCTTCTCCCTCTGTCTATGTCTCTGCCTCTCTTTCTCTGTGTCTCTCATGAATAAATAAATAAAATCTTTTTAAAAATTGCTTCACTGTTTTTTTTTTCACTGTTTTTAGAGCAAAGTGTCAACACTCTTAATATGATGTGGTCCCAGCTTACTTCTCCAGCCTCATCTCTACCGACTTCCTCTTCACACACTTAGCTTCAGGTAGACTGAGCTATTCACATCTCCCTGACTGCTGGGCTCTCTCTCACCTCCAACCCTGTGCACATGCTGAGGACACCCATCTCATCCTCCCACCTCCACCCCACTCCCTGGCTCAGGTGTCACTTCTGGGAAGCTTTCCCTGAACTCTCACTTCTTGGGGAGTAAGAAGGGACTTCCTCCTAGGTGTTCCCACATCTACCTATTCTTGCCTTAGCATTTATCACAATATATTCTTTGGTCTCTTTACTTGTTTCTCCCAATAGACAGGAAGCTTCTTAGGCCAGGGAACATGCTTCACTCTACTGTATCCCCAGAACTGAATCAAGTACATGGCATGTGTAAGTCACAATAAATATCTATTAAGTGAATAAATTAGGGCTACCTGAGTGGCTCAGCTGGTTAAGCATCTGATTCTTGATTTTGGTTCAGGTCATAATCTCACAGTTGTGAGACTGAAGCCCTCATTACGCTCTGTGCTTGGATGTGGAGCCTACTTGAGACTCTCTCTCTAATAAAAATGAATGAACAAATGAATGAATGAATTAGTGAGACACGAAGAATGAGAAATAGTAAAACAAAGACACAAATACATTAAACCTGAACCATCCTTTTCATTTACAAAACACTTTCATAGATATTTCTCATAAAACTTCCATTTAACTGTGATTATTATTATTATTTTTAAAGATTTTATTTATTTATTCATGACAGACACACAGAGAGAGAGAGGCAGAGACGCAGACAAAGGGAGAAACAGGCCTCATGCAGGGAGCCTGATGTGGGACTCGATCCCTGGTCCCCAGGATCAGGCCCTGGGCTGAAGGCGGCGCTAAACCGCTGAGCCACCGGGGCTGCCCTGTCATTATTATTTTGACATGAGTTAAGAGGAATAGCAAGATCCAATGACCAAAATAACATCTGGCATGAGGTAGATTTACTCAGTAGATACTGAGAGAAAACTAGTTACTCTTATCTTGCTGTGTATTTGGGGCCAGTGACATTCTAGCTAGTACACAGTAGCTACCCAGTAAGAGGCAGCTACTGTAACTATTAGATGCATCCTAACTTGAACTCTTGCATGAATGAAGGAATGAATGCAGTATATGCAATGCCTCCTTCTCTCTCTCCTTAAACGTGTCTCATGTTTTTCTCTGACTAGTACTGGCCATAATAGTACAGCCTAATCCTAATGGTTCACAAAGAAAAACATTTCTCTGGTCTAAAAGTATTTCTCTAGCCCTTCTATCTATCTCTCAAGGTTCAGTCATTCCGCTAGAGGAGTCTTGTCTCCCTCAAAGCTGTCTCTGAGTCTTGAGTTTGACTCCTAAACATGGAAGAACATATTTCATCCTGATGTCAGCTCTAAGACAGGTGCATGAGCAGTTTTTCTTCCTAACAGAAAACATAAAACTCATCACTTGCCTGCACTCAAAAGCCATCAATTCAGCAGCCATAATACCCAACGTTGTATCAGGGACTGCAATAAGAGGTACACCCAAGGGCGCCTGAGTGGCTCAGTAGGTTAAGTGTCTGTCTTCAGCTTAGGTCATGATCCCGGAGTCCTGGGACTGAGTCCCACCTTGGCTTGCTGCTCAATGGGGAGTCTACTTCTCCCTCTTCCTCTGTCCCTCCCCCTGCTTGTGCATGCTCTCTCTCAAGTAAATAAAATCTTAAAAAAGGGGGGGGGGGGCCTCAGCCAAAACTGGCTAGAATAAAATGACATTTACCATGAAATCATTGCCAAGCTTGTAATGTCCGATGCCATAATTATAAGTCAATTCTGCAACAAAATGATCATCTTCAGGTCCAAATCCCACCATTGTTTTACTCCATTTCCCATCATAAGGCCTAGAAAAATTCAAGTAAATGAACCCAGTGAACACAGATAAAATCTATCTCAGGTCTCCCCTAAGGAGCTCTTGGGACAGAGTAGTGGGTAGTCAGTCCCCTCTGGTCCTCTAAGTATCTGTAAGGATGAGATGACCTCTCAGCTGGTGCTGACGACAAGTATGAACAGTGTTCATGGGCCTCACCACCAGAAGCTCCAAAGACCATCTGTCTGGCACTTATTTGAGGAAAAATTCGTTTACCTTTTCTTTAAAGTAGGGGACACACTCCTGTAAAGATACTTCTACAACCTTTTTTTTTTTTTTTTTTTTTTGCATATCTATCAACAAGAATGCAATTCTCATTAGGCCTTGGAATTTTCCAGCTTGCTCTGGCTACTGAGCTAAGGGATACTAGATATGACATTGCTTCAATTACAGTATACATTTATTTGTGTTTTTGAAGCTGCCACCCTGATTTATTGATTCTTGAATTTATTCCACTGCCTTACACTCACTTCACGAAACTGTCTTCTGTTCTCCAGGGGTATTCAGAGCCTAAAGGAGATTTTAAGAAACAAGGTGTCATACCCATTACAGGCAGCTTTGCAGCCTTCTTCAAATTCCTCATGCCGCAGAATCTGGTAAGGGAATTAGAATATACCCTAAAATGTTACCAGTATCGTACACAACTTATTTAGCACAAGCTAAAATGTTAAAACACAGACATTTATAATTTGTAAGATTTACTTCTAAAACAAACAAAAGACAATGAGCTTTACATCTTTCCCAGACTGGAAGTAAGAAGTAAGGAAGAACAGTTTGACATCAAGGGTCAGGCAACCAAGCTTGTGAAATTTACTTAGATTGGGAAGCAGTGCTGTGGAGTTAAAATAAAAACAACAACACAAAGAAACAAAGGATAGCCTTCAGCATTAGAGAATTCTGATTTGGAAATATGTCTGTCATCAACAGTTGTCTGAGACTGAGAACACTAGGAACATTGCTTAGGGTCTGGGTCTCCCAACTTGTTATAGATAATAGATAATTTAGGAAACCAATTGACACAGAACCCCCCACAGTAGCCTCTCAATGTTGTAGTGCCTATTCTCCTTTTTGATTCCTGCTGCTATTGCTCCGGGTCAAGTTCTTATCCGTTCTCTCCTACACTATTAAAAATCATCTTTATTGGTCTCTTTCCTTAATACTACCATAAAATTACATCCCTCATGCACTGCTCTGATTACATCATTACCCTGTTCTAAAATGTGAGAACTCCCTACTTACTGTGCCATAAAATCCAAATTCCTCAGTATTCAAGATACCATCAGAAGTAGTCCCAGGAGCACCTGGGTGGCTCAGTTGGTTAAGTGTCTGCCTTCGGCTCAGGTCATGTTCTCCAGGTCCTGGGATCAAGCCTGGTGTTGGGACTCTGCTTCTCCCTCTCCTCCTCCCCCTTCCCTCTTGCTCTCTCTCAAATAAATAAATAAGTAATCTTAAAAAAAAAAAAAAAAGGTAGTCCTAACCTATTTGTCCTGTATCCCACCTCAACTTCAACTAAGTAATCTAAGCTAAAGGCACAGAAAACTAGTGGTGTTTTCCAAACATACCTTATTTTTTCACGGGCTCTTCCAGTTTTCCTAGTACACTCCTCCCTCTAATCTTTGTTTGTGGAAATCTTACCATCAACTCAAATTCAATTCTCTGTGGATTATTTCCTGACAACTCAGGCTGAAATTAAATCTTTCCTGTAGTACTTTTGTAATAATAGTGGTGGCTACTACTTATACAATACATATGATATATTAAATACCACACATATAACAGTGTTTAATCTTCACAACAACCCTTTAACCAATGAAGAAACACATTAAGGGAGAGTTTTGTGGTTTTCCCTCACTTAATCAAGTTTTGATTTCCATTACTGTTAACTATATACAAATCAGCTCAACACAGGACCGTGAAACGCGGATGATATATTTTAAATGACTGACGAATTCGGGTAACTCCCTTGCATTCCACGTCTTCTTCACTCTCTACATTAAATTGCACCCTTGCACCTCTAAAGTCCTTGCTCAGGAGCTCTCCAATAGCTTCCACCTGCATTTGCCACGCAGGAATCCCTGCAAAATCGCAGCTGCCTAGGGCTGGAGAGGCCGCTTCCGGGTGTTAGAAAGAATGGGTACTGACTTCACACTTAGATCTGGACTGCTAAAAGGAGGGCCGGTGCAATCACCCAGAGAGTGAATATCCAAGCGACCAGAAGCCTTGGGAGAAGCAGAGCTCTAAGTAGGCTGATTATCTAAACTGAAAGGCTCCAAACAGTAACTGAGTTATTGTTCACTGGAGAAGTATTATATTGCTTTTTGTTTATGATCTTTCCCGCTTGACTGGAAGCTCCACAAGGGCTGAGGCTCAGTATTTGTGAATGAACTTAAAAGCGTGAGGGCAAACAGTCGGAGACTAATAAAGGCCCCTTTCAAAGGTCATCTAGCCCAACCAGAAACATGCAACGCTTCCTGGAGCTGAAAACCTGACAGGGCTAATGCGGAGTCCAGGGCTAAGGTCTGACCCCCGGGCGCTGGCGGAGATTCACGGAACACCCATTTGTCCCCTTCTGGGGCTAGTGGGGCTCAGCGGTCCCGGCCACCCAACCTCGCGCGCCAGCCCCCTCCGCCCCGTCTGCACCTTCATCCCCAGGACATCGCGAAAGAAACGCGCCGTCTGGAAGCGGTTTCCCACTTTGAACACGAAGTGCAAAGCTCGACGAGTAGCCATAGCCATTAGCGAAACACAGTCAGGAGGCTGCGCGGGTCGGTCGTGACGTCACTGGTCCCCGCCGGCGCGCTTCCCTGACGCACGCACGGCGCGAGGGAAGATGGCGGCGTGGGTAAAGGGCTTGGGGTGGGTCACGCGGCCGCTCTTGTCGGTGGTCCGAACTTGGGACCTTGACGCGCGGCGCTGGGTCCGGGCGCTACGGCGGAGCCCGGTGAGGGTGGTGTTTCCATCCGGACAGGCGGTGGGGCGGAAGCCTGGTCCTGAGAAGCAGCCCCGGAGGGCAGCGGCTGAGGCCAGTCCCCACGAGCAGCGACAGAAGCCGCCGCTTCAGGTGTCCGCCTCCCAGACGTCCGGCGCCTGGGAAGAGTCAGGGCTTCGCTATGATAAGGCTTTGCCCGGGGACAGAAGGCTGAGGTGATGTGTTCCTGAGACTTGTCATGTATTCCCGTTTCTCTCCCCGCCTGCCAGCGGGACCTTAACTCGTTTTTTCCTTTTGGAGGACTTCTCCCGGTACAACTTTCTGGTTTTTATTATGCATGGAGGGCAAAATAAGTGTTTTCTTTAGAATTCGTTTTTTTATGTCTATGAAGCTCTTTATGTCTCTTAGAACTAGGTGTGTTTTGGTAACAAGGATGTTAGTAATTACCTGTCTTTTTGTTTCCACCCACAGCAGTGTAATGACAATAGTTAAGTCCAGGCCATTTCGGGAAAAGCAAGGAAAGATCCTGCTGGAAGGTCGCAGGCTTATTGCAGATGCTCTCAAGGCTGGTGCTGTGCCAAAAGTTTTCTTCTTTAGCCGTCTGGAGTACATAAAGGAGCTTCCCATTGATAAGCTGAAAGGTGTCAGTCTCATTAAGGTGAAATTTGAAGATATCAAGGATTGGTCCGACCTAGTAACTCCACAAGGAATAATGGGTCAGTACTTATACAATATGTCACTAGAAGTAGAGATCTAGGATTACTTATTCATAATTGTCTTAGGGCAACAAATTTTATATGAACCAAATTCAAAATGTTTTAAGACACTCAGATAAATACAGTTCTCAGATCTCTGCGTCTTACAGTATTTTCAGTGGAAGCTGCAGTTTTTTTTGTCATTATCTGTATTGTGGCTTTTTATAGTCTCTAGGAATAACCATTGTTCTTTGAACATTGTATTTTTATAGGTCACTTTACAACCTTCAATGTCCAGCTAAAATTTAAGAAAATGTTTATTAAAGTATTTAGCTCTCCATTTGTCCAAGACCTCTGCCAGTGTGGTGATACCTCTCTGTCTTTAACCCTCTTTTTGTAGAAGCATGTCTAAGCAGAAAGCTTTGAGCTTATTACCCTGCTTAGCTCATTGAACAAGAAACTGTCTTTACTTGGTTGAATCAAAAAAGATTCTAATAGACTGGTGTCTATTAGCACTTAGAAGGGTTTATTTTTCTAAATATGGAAAAACTAAATTTACATCTTTTTTGACATTGGAACTATATCTTAGATCTGAGAATTGAATGGCAGTTAAGTGTAGAGGTTCCTCTTGGATAGTAAGGGACAGTTGGGGCAGGCAGAGTTATTTTCAAGATTCTAATGTTTAGGCCAGGGTCTCTCTTTCTCTCTCTCTTTTTTTTTTTTTTAAACTTATTTATTCATGAGAGACAGGCAGAGACGCAGGCAGAGGGTGAAGCAGGCTCCATGCATGGAGCCTGATGTAGGACTTGATCCCGGGACCCCAGGATTACACCCAGGGCCCAAGGTAGGTGCTAAACCTCTGAACCACCCAGGGATCCCCTAGGCCAGGGTCTCTGATATCAGTTGTGCATGTGTTTCCTTGTGGGATAGTTCAGCTATTGGGAGAGGAAATTCTGGGGACCATCTCTCGTTCTGTAATCCAGTAAGTCATAGGGATCTGTGACCCTGGATTTACAACTCTCCCCTAGGGTGGGGATTTGGGACTGCTAAAGCCCTCCACTTTAAATATGTATGGTCTTGTTAGCTACACCTTTAATTCCCTACTCTATACTACAGTGCAAATATCACTCAATTTTTTACCATGCTTGTCACTTTGCACATGTGTGCTAATAGTGGCCAGCCTATCCAGGACTCTAGCCTTCCTTGTTGTTATGACTGCTTTCATCATTTCATGTCTCTTAGTAATGCAAGAAATGCATGTTATTTAGCTTATCCTTTTTTTTTTTTTTAAGATTTTATTTATTTGTCAGAGAGCATAAGCAAGGCAGAGAAGGAGAGGGAGAAGCAGACTCCCCGCTGAGCAGGGAACACGATGTGGGGCTTGATCCAGAATGCTGGGATCATGACCTGACCTGAAGGCAGACACTTAACCAACTGAGCCACCAAAGTGCCCCTATTTAGCTTATCCTATGTTTTATTTAATGTTGGAGGGGTGGGGTATAGGGAGAAAGAGATAAGACTGCCTATCAGATTTCCAGCACATCTTTAAAATCCAGTAATGTAAGTAGGGCCTCTCTAGTAGAGAGTTCTGATCATTGCAGCCATTCAGGTAGAGGTTAAAGGACTCCTGAGGCCCCTGCCCCACTGAATGGTTTTAGAGCTAGCTATCTGTGGCTCCTAAGTGCAGGACCTTTCTACAGCACACAGATGCCTAATATCATTCTAGTACCTTCATAGATGGGTTAGGTATAGGTATTTATGTGTTCTTGGTGTGAATACATTGGACTAGACTGGGGAGGGCAGTTTAAGAGTATCTATCACACACATCATATATCGATTTCACTTGCGGGCTTTCTCATAGGACATGTTTGGATGTGTGCGTGTGCATAGAGAGTCCTACAGGGATGTTCATTGCAGGATTGTTTATAATAGGGAAAAATGGAAAATATGCTAAATGTCAGTTGGGAAAGAGCTAAATAAACATGGTATATTCATGTTACAAAATAACATTCAATACTTAAAATAATGGTAGCTCTGAATGTATTGACTGGTAAGATATCTCATGTTACCAAATTGAATAAAGTTACAGAATAATACATAGAGTATGAATCTTTTACGTAAAAGAGAATAAAATAGCACCTATGCATGGGGAGATGTGTGTATGTGCAGGTAGATGCATGGAACAGGTTCTGAAGGGATGTACCTAGGATGGCAAACAACTATAAGGGGGCAGGTATCACTGGTAGGACTTTATATATGAAGTTTTTCAATCAGAATGTATTCATGTATTACTTACATAATTAACAATATAGAAAGATGGATAAATAAATGAAAGGCCAAATTTCTCCCATGGTCCTGACATCAGACAAGTAAATCCTCTGTTTTGTTTCCTCAGGGATTTTTGCCAGACCTGACCATGTGAAGATGACATACCCAGAGACTCAGCTCCGCCATTTACTACCCTTATTGTTGATTTGTGACAATCTCCGTGACCCCGGGAACCTGGGGACAATTCTGAGATCTGCGGCTGGGGCCGGCTGCAGCAAAGTGTTACTCACCAAAGGTCAGAGCACTTGTTGCTGGGCGGATGGGTTGGCTATTTGGTTCTTTTTTTTTTTTTTTTTTTTTTTAAGATTTTATTTATTCATTCATAAGAGACACAGAGAGAGGCAGAGACATAGGCAGAGGGAGAAGCAGGCTCTCTGCAGGAGCCTGATGCAGGACTTCATCCTGGACCCCAGGATCACAATCTGAGCTAAAGGCAGACACTCAACCACTGAGCCACCCAGGCATCCCTCAATTGGCCATTTGTAAGTGAGCTGGATCTATGGGCATACACAGATGGATTTGAATCTTGGATCTGCCCCTTATTAGCTCTATGTCCGTGAGTGATATTCTGAGTGTCCATTTCCTCATCTGTAAAGTGGGCGTAACAGAATCTAGAATCTACCTAGTAAGGCTGTTTTGAGGATTGAAATTACATACGCGGTGTTCTGCTTGCCATCTAAGTACTTAAGGAAATGTGGATTATCTTTCTAGTGCCTCGGGCGCCCTGAAATTGGGATGCATTTGTCTTAGCCTTGGGATGGGTCAAACATCCCCACACAAATTAGCCTCTTGACATTTCTCTCTTGTCATCAGAAACGGAATGAGTAGGGGGCGCTTGGTTGGCTCAGTCGATTAAGCATCTGCCTTTGGCTCAGGTCATGATCCTGGGGTCCTGGGATTGAGCCTCAGGTCAGGCTCACTGCCCAGTGAGGAGTCTGTTTATCCCTCTCCCTTAACCCTCACATCCTTCCTTGTGCTCTCTTGCTCATTCTCTTGTTCTAATAAATAAAATCTTTTAAAAAGAAAGAAAAATGGGATGATTAGGCTTGGTTCTAAAGAGACTTGCCTAACACGTGGGACATACCTAAAGTGCCTCTCACAACTTGCAGGGAGGGAGAAGATCATTCATTGAAAATACTCAAGCTATCATTCACTATAAACTAATAATACCTGCTGCTGAGACTTGCCTCAGTTGCTCCTGTTAACCCTTCGTCCCTGTCACTCTTTGTTGGAATAGATGGAGCAGATATGAAGATGCCAGTATGAGAGCTAGATGCTGGGGTTCCATCATCAGTACCCACTTACCCAACCCATCGTTGAGAGCTCTGAGAGCTGGTGTGGTTTTGGAAACATACCTATATCTTCTGAACAATGCGGTTTCTACATTGATGATGGTGGCTAGTATATAGGAGGTGGGGAATGAATAGGGAACACTTGGTGTGGTGCCCAGTATGGAGGACATGAGGATGAAAGGGGAAATCTCTTGTCCCTTACTTCCCACCAGGGCAGAGGTCAGACTAGATGGCTTCCCTTATGAGTCTCGGGCCCCTCTTCTTCCCTCCCTCACCCCCAGTTTCTTGATCTAGTGCCCACCTCCCATCTCCGGCTCCCTGCAGTGATTGAGGATGCCTGTGGTTGGTACAGCGTGTGGCAGTGTTCCATTCTTTGTGTTTTACTTTCCTTTTAAAGTTTGGTTTGCCTGTTTACTGTCTAGAAGTTAGGTTAAGTTTTGCAGCAGCTTACAATTCAGAGAGTTGTGCTATGAGGTAGAGGAGGGTAGGTAGCAGGTATGTGGTGCCTCGGCCCTGCTGTTTCTCCCAGCCTGTGGTCCTAGGAAAGGCCACACAGAAGTGGCTGGGCTTAGCATGTGACTATGTATAAAAGAAGAGTTCTTTTAGCCTTCTTTCTGTGTTGAGAGGCTGTGTGTGTGTGTGAAAGAGAAGGCTGTCGTCCTGGTGGCTCTCCCTGGATTACTGTTATGTCCCCATCTACTTCCCCCTCTCTGGCGTCTTCCCTGCTCTGGTGCGGATTCAACATAGAAGCCAAATGGGTCTTTCTAAAACTTACATCAGATTCTACCACTAGTTGGCTTAAAAATCTTTGACCCCATTATATTGTCTAATGGATAAGATCCCATCCTTCCTCTGCTTGGCATACCCACCCTTCTTCATATTGGTCCTTGCCTGCTTCCAGCCTCCTGTCCCACTATGCCCCCTGGCTGGATCACTTTACTGTCTGAGCTGTGGCATTCTCCCCCTCTAACTCCCCGGCCTTTCTTTGACAGCTTCATCCTGTCCTCTGAGATCCAACTCAGTGTCATGTTCTGTGGGATGTTTTTCCTGGTAGCTCTACTTTGTACAGGGTTTTTTTGGTCACCCTGTTCATGCCTCATTTGTATCAGTTACTGATACTGTAGTTAGGTGATTAGATACTGTCCCAGCACCATCGCCCACTATCCACGGACCCCATGAGGTTTGGGATTTGAATGCTCTTTGCATCTCCTGTAGAGTGTCTTGCCCAGGTGTATGGTAATGTTGAAGGGATGAAAGAAGTCTGTTTCAGTACTAGCTGGAGTTCCCTCTACTAGACATCACCATAGTTGGGGAGGTAGAGGTCCCAGCTATGAAGAAGGCTGCAGTAGAACATTTTTTGCTTTCTTTCCTGATCTAGAATTAATCTGATTTATTTTAAAGTCCCCTGTCTCTATTTTCTAGGCTGTGTGGATCCCTGGGAGCCCAAAGTGCTACGAGCAGCAATGGGTGCACATTTCCTGGTGCCCATCATCAATAACCTGGACTGGGAAACATTGCCCAACTACCTGCCCACTGACACCCGGGTCTACGTGGCTGACAACTGTGGCCTTTATGCCCAGGCCCAGATGTCTGATAAAGCCAGTGACCACGGCTGGGTATGTGACCGACGACTCTCGAAGTTGCACAAGTATGAGGAGGAGGAAGAAGGGGAGGATCTAGAACCTGGAGCCAGTAAAGCCTGGCTCCCTGAACTTGAGGTCCAGAGTTACGACTTGGACTGGACAGAGGCACCAGCAGCTGTGGTGATAGGTGGGGAGACCCATGGCGTGAGCCTGGAGTCCTTGCAGTTGGCCGAGAGCACTGGGGGCAAGAGGCTGCTGATCCCCGTTGTGCCTGGTGTGGACAGCTTGAACTCAGCTATGGCTGCAAGCATCCTGCTTTTTGAAGGGAGAAGACAGCTACGTGTAAGGGCGGAACACTTGAGCAGGGACAGGTGTTACCACTGAGAGGGAACATGGTAGTCAGTCCTTGATTTGAGGGGGTCCCTAGCTCCTCCTGCATTGTTAGGAGATAGGCAGAGTCAGTAACTGAGGCTTCCCAGGCCATACCCAGGAGGTAAGAGGTGTGCAAGGTGCTAACTGTATGGTTACTGGAAAAATAAGAATTTCCATGAACTTCTGCTTATTCTCAAAACTAACAAGGATGAGAATTCTGAGATTTCTCCCTGCTCCCTAGCAAAACTTCCTCTTGAGAGAACCCGGATATCAAAGCTGACTTGTGCCCCAAGCTGTGGCAGAGTGGGACTGTTTGATATGTTTGAGGGGAGAGGTTTTTTCAGAAACAATCTCTTTGGTTGGCTGTGCTGTCCAGGCTGATGGCCTGGAATCGCTGCTCTGGGCCCCACCGGTCTGGGCCATCCCCGGGGCCTCACACACATGTTCTGTGCAAGTGGTCCATGGGTTCTTCTTGAGACCCTCCGTGCTGTTTCAGCTTTGAGAAGGCAGAAGAGCCCAGAAGGGCTGAGGCCTGGGCCTCTAGTTCGCAGAGCTATAATGCCTGTCTCATGAGCAGGCTGAGGCAGCTCAGGGAACTGTACACTGGGGTCTGTGGACTTTTGTTCTCTCAGCACTTTGGAAAAGTACTAAGCAAACAGAGGTCACTAAAAGGAAGTTCATGCCTTTCCACCATGAAACCAGTCTCCTGCAGCTTTCCCCTGCATTATTGTTCCTGCTGATTTTTGTTACAAAATAAAGATAAAAGAATAACAAACCCTATGCCTTGTTCCTGTTAAAAACAACCTTGTAAAACCCATATACCTGGCATTTAATGCTAAGCCTGTTTTATCACACTGGGTGGAAGAAAGAAGAAATTTCCATCCCATTCACTTTATAGTGAGTGGCTTAGGTACCGGGCCCTGTGAGTTCTTTATGTTTGTGATCATAATTTAGCAGAGAGGAGGGCAAGTTTTCCTTTTTTAAAATGACTACAGGTGAAGCTTGTGGTGGTGAAGTTGCTTGAGCGGTCATGAAAAATTGCTTTCTTGGATTATTTTTCATTTTAAGGCCAACTTTGGTTTTTCATCATTTCCCCAGGAAGTCAGAATAAAAAAATGAGCAGTACCTGACAGAACATGAGCTGAGGGAGAAGCCGCCGAATGATTGGTAGGCCCAGGGCCTCCTCGCCTTTGTTGAGCACAGCGCTCACGGTGGTTTCTGCCACAAGATGGCAGCCAAGCCTCAAAAGCACTCCCAGCCCCGAAGGGAGAGGTTAGGGTTTTTCTGGGATTTTAAGTTGAAAAATGAGGGAGTCCAGTCTCCACAGAGGGCATTTTGCAGACCATTTTTGGTGATGAAGTTGGATCCTTATTGTCTTAGCAGAATCTGAAGCATAGCTAGGTGTTGGACCAAACACTAAGGAGGAATTGGGCAGCAGTGGGAAGTGGCTGCAGCAAGAAAAGCTGACACAACTTTTTCCTTTGAATGGAACGTCTGGGAAAGCAGCTCTGGACAAAGGCTGCTGCCCCCACACATGTCTGGAACTCACACCGGGAACCCTCACCCCAGTTTGGAGCTTCAGGGCAGTGAGGGCTACGGAGTCCTCTTCCCCACCCGCAGCTGCCAGCTTCCCCACCCGCAGCTGCCAGCTCGCAGTGCAGTCCCGTCAGGAAGGCCCCAAGGGTGAGCAGCTCTCTGGGGACTGGTTTCTACCAGTTTGAGCTAGGACCTTCTACCACTTGCTCCATGGTTAACAGGAGCACCAGATGCCCCCCCCCCCCCAAGCTGAGCTGCTTTTAGATGCACTTCTGTCATCTTGCCACACAAAGACCCCAGCTACAGCACCTCATGCAGGGTTCTGTGACTAGTACTAAACACTCCCAGCTGTGCTGCAAGGGCCTGGGTGGCCCCCTGCCCCACTCTTCAAAAGCAGATCTGGCTGGCTCACCTGAACAATTTTTAGGAAACACTCATGTAGATATCTTTAAACTCCAAGAACTTATAATGTACATAGGTAACAAGCTAGACGCCAAATGAATGGATGAGCTCTTTATTGCTGTGGGTGACTTCAAGTCTCAACTAGGTTGCCATGTTACATTAGTCCAGCTGAGACAGAGCCTGCTAGCCAGGCCACCCTCACTGAAGGACTTGGGAAGCCAGGCCAACACTCAGAGGCCAAGCATAACCAAAAGTCTGAATTCATTATAGATGGCATCGTTGCTCTTCCTACTACATTTGTATTGTAGGGGAGCTACCTTCTTTAGCTGGAGCCTCGTATTTGGAGGGCCCTCCCCAAAGCTGCTACTTGCAGAATGCAAGGAGGAAACAAGGGTTGTGGAGGCAATGGGGGCTGCAGCACGCTCTGGCCTCCCCGCTTCACCTCTGCAACCAGAGGGGGTGGTGCAAACTGTGTATGGGCAGAGTGGCTCGCTAATGGCTGGGGACTTGCACATCCTATGATGTCCAAAGGAGATTTCTTTTTTAGTCCTGGGTCCTAAGATCATGCCTCCTACTGTATCCTCATTCTAGCCCGTGTGGGTGACTGACCTGTGTGAGGCATGAGCACTCAGGAACCCAGACTTGGGGCTGCCTGCCTCTGGGCTGCATACTGGCCTACAGGCTTGGGGACAGGCTTTCATGAGTTGGTACATTCATTAATAAAAATCCATCAGTCCTTCAGAACAAGTCCTGCCCCAGCGGAATAACATACTTCCTGGCCTGGGAAGCATTCCAGAACTCCAAGGGAGACATAAACCTTGAACAAAGCCTATTTTCTTCATGCTTTCACATTGGAGGCACACCTACGACATCCTAATGTCATATTTCTCCACTAGAAGGAGACATCCTAGCCATAAAGTAGACCCAATATAAAATTTTCCTACAAACAGCCTTCTGTTTGCTGGAAAGTATTTCACTTGCACCATTTACTAACATTGAATAATCAAGAATGAAACCAATAGACAACAGCCATTTGTCAAAGAATTTTCCCTTGGGTACTCCTGCCTGCCCCTGTCAGTGTCAGCTAAGAGGGATGTAGGTTAAGCGCTTCTGCACAGCTGCTTCAGGGAACTTCAGTCCTCCGTTCACACGGCATCACCCAAAGAAGCCACAGAGGGCACTGCTGAAGCTCCCCACCATCCATCCACACGCTGCCCCATTCCAGTCCTATCTGGCAAGCATGGGCCTCCCCAGCCTGGCCCTGGGAAATGGTGTGTGACCAGGAGGTGCCTGCAACTGTGTGACGGCGGGGCTGGACCAGGTGTGCTCAGATCCCTCCCAGAGCTAGCATTCCCAGTCTATACGCGTGCACTCGCACACGAGTGGTGTTCTCCCTAAGCCGGCAGTGTTATAGACCTTATTGGGTCTTGCCGATCTGATCTTGGGCCATGGTTCTCTCTAGATCATTGCAGAGCTCCGTTTGCTATCCTGGAAGAGGGCAGCAGGAGGAGAAAACAGCTTTATAGTGTGTTTAACTAGGCAAGAGGCAAAAACAAAGTCTGGCTGAAAATTACCACTTGAAGCTTGGCCGCTGCCAAAACAGTACTAGCTCCCTATGCTTGGATAAGTGAGAGGCACTGAATTTGAGGACACGCTTGGAGATTGTGGTTGGGAGGCAGGGGAGGGAAGCAGGCAGCCACCTCACTCCTGGAAAGGAAGCTTCAGTTGCACTCTGGCATTTACCACTGCCCACTGGACCTACCAATTCCAAATATGTATCCTTTTTCTTAACCAGATCTTTATTGCTGGGGTCAGATAAAAAAATCTCATCTCTGTTGTGAAAATGAATAGAATCAGATCTGGAAGTCATTGTGGTGAGTGCAAAATCTGGAACTTCAGGGTGGCATTTTTATAGCTACTTTCCTGTCTCAACCTGCTAGGGTAGTTTCCCTTGCTACTGATGGAAGCCCTTGAATACATTACAGCTGGGGTTTTAACCTGCTTCTAATTAGTGACAAGAATTAAGGTATTTTGGAGCTGCTTAGTGGGAATTAAAAAGCCACCCACTTCGTCTGCATCAAGAACCTTTAAGATATCTTGCACTATTGAGCCAGGGGTTTTTACTGGCACTGGTGAATGGTCTTCCCCCAGTGTTCCCCCTCAAAGCCTCCACTATATAAACCTCAGGGTTTTTTTTTAGTAAACCTTCCCACTGATCTTAACCTACACACCCACTCCAAGAGGGGAATTTTGGTGTCAAGGATCCAGTTGATCTTAGTGGCAAGTAGTTCAAGTCAGCCCTGTTAAGGCCATAGAAGAATTACAGAAGATCTAATTTTTCTGCTGCAGGAACTTAAAGGGACTCCTCGCTGGACTTTGTTACTTCTATGCCAGAATATAAGTAGTTTCTAAGAGAGGCCACTTTTCCTCCAAGGCTATCATGATATAGGACATAGGCAGAAATCCATCTTCCAAGTGAGGTTGACCTCACCTTGTCCCCACATCCGCCATACTCTCGGAGGAGACACTGGCCCAGGACAGAGCTAGGGTTGACGGTCTCCAACTATCGCCCATTCTTCACAGGGAGACCTGTGTGGGATTCCTTGTGTCTGCAACTGACCTCCTCAGGCTTCAGAGCACTTGCGGGGAGGGAATGAGCACCAGTGTCCTCAAGGATGCCTGTGATCAGAGAATCAACCTTCTACAAGGGCAAGTGGAACCAGGAGAGATGGCAGCCAGAGCTCCAGCAGGGATCTGCCTCTGGTGCTCTAAGCCAAAGGAGCTCCCTGGCTTCCGAAGGATTCAGCAGATGACCAGTTCTCAACAATTCTAAAACACAGATACTAGGTATCCAGAAAATTCGAGAGGATCTAGCGTGTCCTCCCCCACCCTCTCCCCAGAGCCCAGCACCACAAGCAAAACGATTTTTGTTACTGAGCACAAGAAAGGCCAACTCATTGATAATGTCCAGAGATGCCTGCTTTATTTCTTACTAGGTGATTGCATTTCAGGCTTGTGACATCAAGTAACTGTCTAATCACCAACTAACTTTGTACCTCTGAACTACGAATCAACAATCCAGTTCAGCAAGGAGCAGTGCTGTCAACAGCTGACTGGGGGCTGGATTTTTCAAATCAATGGTCTTGGCTGACAGAATGCTGTCAGTGGAGCCAAGGGTAAGGCCTGAGATCGTGTGAAAGACCCTAATGCCCGGTGGAGATAGGCCCAAATCCTGTGAACCCCTAGACAAAGCTCTCCACCCCAAGTTCCAAGGACACAGCTGTTGTTACCTTCCTTTTGTGGGAGCTGAGCTACCTGAGCCTAGCAGAGTGGATCCAAGGCCTACTTTTAATTGACAGGTCCTCTGCTCCCACTGTCACCCTAGGACACATCTCTTTGTGCAGGTTCTTAGGAAAAAGCTAGGCTTCTGGTAATTTCTTGTCACTTTTTAGTTCTGCTTTGAAAAGAAAAAGAAGGATGACAGGTAACCAAAGGTGGACACAGGCACCTCAGCAGAGCTGCAGTGGCCCCCAAGCCCAGAGTGGGGCCGAGTCAGAGGCCTGTGCCGGTGAGGTGGGGCTCCTCCAAGAACACAGGGCTGGGTGCCTCTTGGGAAGATGTCCAAAGGGAAGAATTTATTAACAAAATTCCAAGACAGTAGAGGCTGTTCATAGATGAGGGCAGAAACTTGGAGAAGGTAAATCAAAGAAGAAAGATATAAGGAAAAAATGAGAAATCTCTTTCTTATCATATGGTAGGAGCTCAGAGTAAGCAGTTACTGCATGAATCATTACCAGAGCTGCTCTTTTTCTCACCAAAAAAGAACACAAGCTTCCT